GGAGGGGAGGAGGAGAGGAGAGGTGGAGGAGGAGGAGGAGGAGGAGGAGGAGGAGGGCAGGAAGCTCGGCGAGCAGGTGCGTGCGATGCCACTCTAGGCCTGTGGACGATGCAATGCTGCGATGCGCGCGGCCGCGATCGCGGCGTCATGAATGGGCGGGCCGCTGTCGATCCGCCGTTCTACAATATGGAATAGCTGCATGGCCAACGCCACCGCGCGCACAAGTCATGCGAGCGCGCCCACGATGCTCGGGCGGCTGGCCGAGCCCTAGGAAGACAATTCCAACATCCAACTCACTCGGCTCCGCAGGGGCGGCGACCGCGCTGCGGAGCTTCTCGCAGTGCATGTAGTGCGCTGGGTCGTCCTTGCCGTTGCAGCCGAAGATGCGCGACCGCGGCGCGATGACGTGCATCCTGCCCGAGGTGGTCCAGCGGCCGCCAGCTCCTCGGCGGCCGTCGCACGGCGGGCCGCCTCGACGAGGGCTGGCGGGACAGGGGCGGGCAACTTGTCGAGCTCGGGGCGCGGGTGCGGGAGGGTGCGGAACTGGCCCATCACGAGGCCGTAGTTCTGGGCGATGGCACGCTTGGTGGCCCACCAGGTCGGTGACCACGCGCCCCGAAGCACACGAACCAGCGGGAGGTGCTCCACCGCCGTCTCGTGCAATGCGCCCAGCACAGGGACCCAGCCGCGCACAGCGCGGGTCGCCGCACGGAAGATCGTGGCGACAGAGTACGGGAACACGCCCACCGGCGCAGGAGAGCCGCGCCACGCGCTCATGGCGTGAATATCCGCCGTGAGCATGGACGAGGGCGGGAAGCGCAGGAGGCGGTGGAGCAGCGTGAACTCGACCCGCCAGATCTCGGGAATGAGGAAAAAGAGCTGTGCCAGGTAGGAGAGGCAAGGGGGCGCATTCACGTTGTACGCGAGGGCAGCAAGGCTGGTCGCCATGCCCGCGCGGCTCAACTCCGCTGCCCGCGACCACCACTTCGCAACCGCTTCCTTCCAGACGCCCTGCTCCGAGATGCCTGGTCCAATGCGCGTGCCCAAGTACTTGGCGGAAGAGTCGATGCGGAAGCCCCTCCAGCTCGGGACCAGCTCGGCGAAGTACCCCTTGGTCTCTTTGATCAGACTGGGAGAGACCTCCGCCCAGAGCGGAACCAGCACACACTTGTGGATCGCCAGCTGCAGGTTGAAGGCGAACTCGATGTCGTCGAAGGACGAGGCGATGGACGGTGGGATCCGAAAGTTGTTTCGGAAGGTTTTGTGGAAGGTGTTTGGAAGGCTTCTTGGAAGGTTGTTCGGAAGGTTTTTGGAATGTATTGGGCGGTTTCGCTAAATGCTGGAAAGTTTTAGGACGGTTTTTGGTAGGTTGTTGGAAGGTTACCTGAACGGGTGTTGGACGGTGTTTGGAATGTTGTTGGAAGGTGTTGGAAGGTTGTTTGGCAAAACCTTCCTGGAACCTTCCTGAAACCTTCCTCGGGAAGGTTCCAGGATCCCTGCTTCCAACAAACCTTCCTAAAACCTTCCTCCGGAAGGTTCCTGGAGGGGTTGGCCGAACTGCCGCACCCAACTGTCCAAGATGGCCCAAAAGGCCCCCAAGAGGGCCCCAAGAAGGCCCAAGAGGTCCCCGAGACGCCCAATATGGCCTCCAAGACGGACAAGGTGCCCTCTAAGATGCCTCCAAGACGCCCAAGGTGGCCGTCAAGACGGCTAAGATGGTCCGGAGATGCGCCCAAGACGGCCCAAGATGGCCTCAAGATGGCCCAAGACGGCCCTATAGGCCCGCCAGAGGCTTCCAAGACGGCCCAAGACCCCTCCAAGACGTCGTCCAGGAAGACCCGAAGGGGCCACAATCATTAAGTTTCCTATGGTTTTTGAAAGGGTTTGACGTTTGCTCCTTTTCAGCTTTCCGACGGCCCAAGACGGCCCAAGCGGCCCCCAACATCGACCCAAGAGCGCCCAAAAGGCCGTCCAAAATGCCACCACGACAACCCAAAAGGCCCCCAAGAAGGCCCCAACAAGGCCCCAACACTGCCCAAGAGGCCCCCAAGACGCCCAAGATGGCCTCCAAGACTGCCAATAAGGCCTCCAAGACAGCGAAGATGGCCCCGACATGCACCCAAGACGGCCCCAGATCTGCTGAAGATGGCCTTCGACTGCCCAAAAAGCCAGCCAGAGGCCTCCAAGGCGGCCGAAGACCCCTCCAAGTCGGCCTCCAGGAGGCCCGAAAGCTCGGAAATCGCCTGGTCGGATAGCTCGCCCGACTCGGTGTTCCCCTAAGGCTTTCGAAGCCCACTCGGGGAACGCGTGGCCCGATAGCTTGGGCACATTCAAACCCAACGCTCGGCCACGCAAGCGCTTCCCAAAAGGCAGGGGGCAGCGGTGATTCGCCGTGGGCGTCTTCGATCTGCCGCCCCCTGTTGGCTTGCCACAAGGGTGTCTGGCGTGCCAGATGTCAAAAGGTTTGGGTGATTGCAGAACTCCCCCGGTGGCTTCGGCCGGCGCCGCCGACCACCCAGAAGGCTTGCCAAGAGGTGGTTGCAAACGTTTTTCTCGCCCCAGGTGGCGCCAAGACGGCCTCCAAGACGGCCAAGACGGCCCTCAAGTTCGCCCAAGATGGCTCAAGATGGCCTCCAAGGCGGCCCCAGAGCGTCCAAGATGCCTGGAAGTTTGCCCAAGAAGCATCCAATACTGCCCAAGATGGCCTCCAGACGACGACGGACGTCCCAAGACGCCCCCAAAAGGCCCCCAAGACGGCCCGAGAAGCCTCCAGGAGCTCATCCAGGAAAGCCCAAAGAGGCCAAACTCATTGATTTCCCTTTGGTTTTTGAAGGGATTTGCTCTTTTTGCTCTTGGCGGCGAACGGTTTCTGTTGCGAGAATGGACCGGAGCCTTGCTACTGCTGAGGGTTGGAACCAGCCCGACTGCGGGGCCAGCTCGCGATACAATTCGAACTGACAGACTGCTCAACACCCCCAGAAGGGAGGCGTGGGAGGGAAGCTTGAAGCCAGGATGGCAGAGGACGATCGCCATCGCAAATGTGCACTAAGGATGGACAGGCTGCAAGGGCAGAACACCATCGGGTTTTTGCTAATCGCGCAAAGGCCGGGCGCGATTAGCAAAAACCCGATGTTTTTAGACGACTGTACTTTACAAGTCGCGACAGGTCGAGCTATTCAAGAGCATTCACGTGGTCCCCACAAACATGCTCTTTTTGCTCTTGGCGGCGAACGGTTTCTGTTGCGAGACTGGACCGGAGCCTTGCTACTGCTGAGGGTTGGAACCAGCCCGACTGCGGGGCCAGCTCGCGATACAATTCGAATTCACAGACTGCTCAACACCCCAAACCTTTAGGACCCAGGCCGAAGTTCACAGCCCACGGGGAGCGGGGGGCCGGCAGGCCTCAGCGAAAAAAGGACGAGAATCAGATCCAGCTCCTTTCAGTCCAAATCGGCGACAACAAAGCACGAGCCAGGGCGGCAGCAAGTTTCGGCGGGTAGGCCGCGGTTTCGCGCGAGCTCCGCCCCTCCAAAATTACGTGCTTCTTACCAGAGAACGAGCAGAAACCGTGCCGACCTGTGCAGAGGACCGTGCCTGGGTGATCCAGGAACCCCAGGTCGAGATCGGCGCCTCCGAAAACCAGTCTAGTGGCCTTTCTATGGGGAGACCCGAAACTACAGTGATTCACAACGACAGTGCGGCTATTGGCGCGAGCCAACAAAGATTTCAAAGAGGGATCGTGCCAGACGTAGCTGCTGTGAGGATGCTCGAGACAGAAGGGGACGTGCATTCTGATGCAAAGTCTGATCACACGGAGCGAAAAGTCCAAGCACGCATTGCCCAAATTCACTTTCTCTCGCTGCGCCTCAGGAAGACCCGGCAAGCCCCGGGGAAACTCTCTACTGCGCAGCGGCACGTTGACATTCTGCACCACGGAGAAAGAGGTGCAGGGCGGGGCCAGCATCACTGCCAGCACCAGGCCGGCGAGGATGCTCGCGCGTAGCCCGGCCTCCACGCACTGGCGCAGCACGTTGTCCGCGGGGCCGGCCTTGATGTCCCACTCCCGCGAGCAGTGCCCGACGCGCCGCGCCGCCGCGGCCGCTCGGCCAGCGCCGCTGAACAGCTCGGCGAAGAAAGGCGTCAAGGCCTCAGAGCCGGCGCCGGCAGCGGGCGCCCACGCGCGACGCACTCCTCGAGCAGGCGCTCGCAGTCGAGGGCGTGGGCCTGCTGCTCCGCGCTGAGCTCCCGCCGGGCGTCGTTGACCCTGCCTGCCTTCTCGTAGCGGGCCACGCTCTTGGCCGCTCGCCATCGGCCTCTCTTCATGCACTCGTCTTGGCTGCGCTCGCGGTGAGCTCGATCGATCGAGATCCCGCTGTGGCGGCCCTGGCACGGCGCCATCTTGTAGCCGAGGGCCGAGGCAGCCTGCACGAACATCTGGTAGAACTGGCTGTAGTCCCAAGGAAAGATCCGCTCTTCGCCCGGCCCCTGGCTGAGATGCTCGAACACGTGGTCCAGCCAGGGCGTCCGAGTCGAGCCCATCACCACCGTGTCGTCCGCCTCCCCTGTCTTGCTCCTCGCCACGCCCGTGCGGCTGGGGAAAAGGAGAAGGCTCCACCTGGCCAGCCCGCCGCGGGCCGGAGGCAGGAGCGACCGGCGCTGGAGCGACAGGAGCTCCGACGGCCGCAGGTAGGCCTCCACCATCACGAGGACCGCGACCGCGGCGAGCCCGAACCCCATGCGCATCAGCTGCAGCGCCAGGGCGGCCCACATGGGCCACGGCAGCGGCCGCCGGCTCATGGGCGGGCTGAAGGTCCGCCAGCCTTTCAGGCAGCGGAAAGCCCGGGGGAGCTTCCGCCATCCGTTGCGGCTGAAGGCCGGGAACACGAACATCGCCGACGCCAGCATGCTCTCGCCGCGCCAGGCCCGGCGGCCCGCGCGGAACTCGTCGTTCATCCAGCGCGCGATGCAATCGTCGACCTCGGCATCCGCGCCGGGGGGGGCCGAGATCTTGTCCGCGTAGGCCACCAGCTCGCCGACGTGCGTCTGGTATCGAGCCCGCGTGGCCGCCTTCGCGCTGTGGGCCTCCAAGTAAGTCTGGCCCGGCGGCAGCTCCTCGAAGGCCATGCGCCGCACCCGCGCCGCGGCGCGGCGGGCATCGGCCTGCGCCGACCCCCGGCTTGGCAGCTCCTCCTCGCAGCTGCTCTCGCTGTCGCCCTCGGCGGCAGCGGCGGTCGCGGCCGCGGCCTTGGCGTCGCGGAAGAGGTTGGCCGCCGCGCGGCCCCACTCTGTCTGGGGCGCCTGCTCCAGGCCGGACGGCCGGGGCACCGGCCCCGCGCTCGCGCGCTTCGCCAATCCACTGTAGGCCTCTCGGCTCAGCCTCCGCGCTCGGCGCGGGCTGCGGCTCCGCGAGGCCGCCCGGCGGCCCCTCGCGCAGCCCGGCGGCAGCCCCGGCGGCCCCGTCTGCGCCCCCTGCGCCGCTGGCTGGCTCGGCGCGGGGCCCTGTGAAAGCAGACCCCGCGTCAGCACCCTCGCCCGCGCCGCCCGGCTCGGCGGCCGAATCCCTGGCTGAGGCGGCGGCGCGCGGGGAGGCGGGAGCGGCGGCTTGGCGAGCCGCTGCGTTGAGCTCAGACGGCTCCGGAATATGTCCCAGCTCGAGGGTGGTCCCGGCTCTCGGCCGTCCAGCTTGCGAGGCTCTCGGCCCTTTCGGCAGGAGGTGAGTGACACATTTTTTAGCTTCATATTCTCTCGCAAACAATCTGCCCCCCTCATCGCTGCCGTTGAACTCCGAAGGGATCCACCTATAACTGAACCGCAGGCCGCGCGCGAAGGCGCACGCGGCCGTCCGCCGAATCATCGTCAGCAGCTTGAAGTCACGGGCCCGCGAGCGCGAAAAGGCGAGGGTCCCACACCGAGTAGGCAAGCCCGAAGCCATCGAGGGAGACGTCCGACTGGTAGACGCCCGGCAGCCACCGGGCGTCCCAGTCAGCTTGCAAAAAGATCATCAGACCAAGGAAGGCGCGCAGCTCCTCAGCCACACTGGGCCACAGCCCAACACGCTCGAAGTAGTGCCGCTGGATGAAGCGGTAGATGCAATGGAAACAGCTGAGGCTCTCGCGCCGCACCAGGACCACGAAGGTGAGGTGGCCCACCACGATCTCCAGCTCGAGCCCGCTGACCGCCCGGCGGCGCAGCAGGGCCTGCACCGCCCCGCGGATCCGCCAGAACCGAGCCGGCGTAGGGCGGGTGCACCCAGCGCGGCCATCGAGCTGCACGCCCAAGGCCGCGCCACCCTCATTCGTCACGGCGGTCTCATGGACCTCGAGGCCGACCCCACCGAAGGACGAGATGGCCCCCTCGAGGCCCCGGCGGACCGCGCCCTCGGTCGTGCCCAGCACCCCCATGTTGTCCACGTAGGTGTAGTGGCCCATGGAGCTCGGGCGATCCAGGATGAGGGGAGGCCCGCGGTCAGTCATGACGAGCGCGCCCTGCAAGGAGGGCACCTTCAGCATGCGGTACGAGATGGCCGACTGCGCGAAGAACAGCGACCAGGCCCAGCCCATCGGCAGCGCCCGCGCAAGCGGGTAGACCAGCGTGCTCGGCGCCAGCCGCGCGCCGTCCAGCTCCGTCAGCCGCAGGTCGGCGGCCCGCAAGGGAGGGTGCCCGAAGTGCTCCTGCAGGCCCAGGCCGTCCTCCAGCAGCAGCCGGTGGAAGCAGTCCTTCACGTCGCTGACTCCGAGCCAGGTGTCGAGGCCCGCCAGCGCCGCGTTGGCCTCCCCCGACTCGCCGTCGCCCGGCGGCCACTCCCGCTCGATGCGGCTGAGGCCGCCCCCGCTGACGAGGTCCACGCCCGGCGGGCTCTTGGACGACAGTCCAAGATCAATCGTTGACGGTCGCCCTTCTTCTTGACGAAGAAGAGCTCGACCTGGCATCGGCACGTGGTCGACATCCTCACCAGGCCGACCTTCAGCCAGCGTTTCACCAGACCGATGTAGGCGGGCCGCTTGTGCTTCAGGATGGGGTCCATATAGGGTCGAACTGGACCGCAGCGTGCATTAATTTCGTCCACCTCCTGGGGTGAACGCAGCATGTAGCTCTCGAAATCCTTCAATAGGGGGAAAACAAACCTACCTCGCTTCTGACCACCCTCGCTTCCAAGAGATACCAAGCGATGCCAAACTGCGGCCTGTACTGGTCAGGCCGCTTGACGAGGGGGCGCGTGGTATGACTTGGTTTTGCCTGGAAGCGAAAGCGGGGTAGGTAATTCACGCTCCGATTCAACTGGATCCGCGCCGCCTCCGGCAGAAGACTCAAAACTCTCGGCGACCCAGCAAGGTCGTCCGGGATCGACAGCCGGGCGTGGGAGAAGGGGGTCAGCGTCGCGTGGGCCAGCTGGGCGTAGCCGCCTCGGCCCCGCAGCAGGCGCGCCAAGCACTGCTGCGAATCCTCCGCGCTGTCCGGGCCGCCCCAGCTCGCCGCCAGGGGTTGGGCCCGTCGCTGCGTCGCATGCTGCAGCTCCGCCACGCGGCAGCGCGTGGCCCAGCTGGGCGCCGCCGGGGGCGGCCGCCGATCAGCGCCATGCATCCAATTTAGGCTGGACAAAGCCCTCGTTCGCCAGCCGCCGAACTCGTGGCCGATCGCGACGTCCAAGGCGGGAAGCGACGTCGGCGTCCAGCTCGCGCAGCCCTGGGACAGGGTAAACCTGGCCGCCGCGCGTGGCCTCTGCTTCAAGGCCGGGGGGCGGCCTCACCCCCGGCCCCTTGCCCGTCATTTCGACTGGGCGGCGGCTGTCGACTCGCCGGGCTTGGTCTTCCGCCCACGACCGCGACCGCCACCGCCCTTGCCGCCGTCATCTGCCCCAGCGCGGGGCAGGCCGCCTGTCTCCAGCGCGCCCGTCACCTCGTCGGCGCCGCCAGCTCCGCGGCCGCCAGGCCCCAACGCTCGACTGCGTCCCAGGGCAGCGAGCCGCTCGGACTCGTCGCGAGCCGCCCGATTCGCGAAGTTGCGGAGCTCGGGCGACACCACGTCGAAGGGGCCACTCGTCCCCGTCAGGAACCTGCCTGCCTCCCACGTGGCCGGCTGACCAGGAACCACGCGATAGGCCTCGCTGATCTGGGCCACTCGGCGGGCCGCCACCTCCAGACACGCCAGCCCGCCTAGGTTCAGCGCGTCGAACGTCGCGGCCAGCCAGAAGATCGTGACCAGACAGTTCAACTCGTGCCATGTCCGGTCACGCTGACTCACGCCGTACTCGCGGCAGAAGTTGCTCATCCACGTCTTGGGGTCGCCGCCGTGCTGCGTGAACCGATGGCAGAGGTGGAGGGCCGTGCCGGCCCCGCGCAGCTCGCACCCGTCCAGGGCCTCCGAACTGCTCTCCCCCACCGCTCGGCGCCATTCCTTGAAGCGGACTCCCTGTTCGTTCCACTCCACCGCGGTCGTCCGCACATCGTCGGCTGCGGGCCCCGCTGTCTCCTCGCGCGGCGTGGGGGTGCCACCCACCTCCTCGCGCGGCCGGTCGGCCAGCGCCTCGCGGAGGTCAAAGGGGCTGGGCCGTCCGGCCTCCTCGGCTGGCGGCGGGGCCAACGGGGCCGGCAAGGGAGCGGCCATCCGCCCGGCGTTGTCAAATGCCTGGGCCCGCCACCTCTCGACCTCGGAGACTGGCACCCGCTCGCAAAGCACCGGCCGGCCGTCGGGCCGCCGCGCGATCACCTTCGGCCTCGCCTGGACGTCGTCGGGGCCCGGCGCCACCTCGTCGCCCAGCTGGAAGCCGCCGCCTGCCTGCACCTCCGCCACCAGCAGCACCGACTCCTCACCTTCCAGCGGCGGGGGCGCTAGGACGGGCCGGCTAGCAGCCTCGTCCCCGGGTGACTCGGGGACCCGGGCGCCCGTGGCCAAAGGCTGCTTGCCCCGCAGGCGCCGCCGCGCGGCCTCCAGCACGCCGATGTCCAGGCCGCACTCGTCGCCGTGCCAGTCCACCATGCTCGTCGGCTCCTCGCCCAAGTGGGCCCCCAGCGCGGACGGGAGGCGACGTCGGCGCCGCTCCTCGCGCGCCAGTTCGCGGCCCTCCAGCACCATCTTCCGCAGCGTCTCGCGGTCGATCTCGTCGCGGAACCTCACCACGTTGCCCCTGACATTCTTGGGCCAGCCGTGGAGCAACGACACGTGCCAAACCCAGTCGGCCCGACGCTCCACGTAGCGGTCGCCGTCCGCGCTCTCGATGACCCAACACTCATGCCTCCGGTCCAGATGGACCGGCCAGATGGGTCCACTCATCTCCGACGAACCGCACCAGCAGCCGCGCCCCCGGGCGCCTCTCGTCGCGCGTCGACATGTTGGCGAAGGGCGCCGCCTCGTGGGGCCTCCGACGCCGGGCTCCAGCGGCCGACGAAAAACGCCACCACCAGCGCCACCAGCCAGAGCAGCCACCACTCGGGGCGCTCCTCCGCCTCGCACGCGGCCGCCGCCAACACTGGGGGCGGCGCGGGCTCGGCGCACACGCACGCCGGGCAAGGTGGGGCCGGCGAGCAGCTCGGGCAGGCCGGGCAGGGCGCCGGGTGGCAGTCGGGGCACGGCGGACACGCCTGCGGCCCCGCGAACGCCACCCGCGCCGCCTCGGCCACCGCCCCGCGCGCCAGCTCCCGCAGCACGCCGGGAGCCGCCGCCGACACGGCCGCGCAGAGGCTCGCCACCATTCCAGGTGGCGCCAGGCCCTCGGCGCGTGAAAGCTTGAAGCCAGCAAGGCAGAGGACGATCGCCATCGCAAATGTGCACTAAGGATGGACAGGCTGCAAGGGCAAAAAACCATCGGGTTTTTGCTAATCGCGCAAAGGCCGGGCGCGATTAGCAAAAACCCGATGTTTTTAGACGACTGTACTTTACAAGTCGCGACAGGTCGAGCTATTCAAGAGCATTCACGTGGTCCCCACAAACATCGCATTTGCTCCTTTTCGGCCTTCCGACTGCTCGAGATGGCCGAAGAGCCCACAAAGATCGCCCCAAGACTGCCCAAGAGGCCTCCAAGATGGCCCCAGAACGGCCCAAGAGGCCCCCAAGACTGCCCAAGGAGCCCCACGACGGCTCAATAGGCCTCCACGACGCCCAAGATGGCATCCAACACTGCCCTGGAGCAACCCAAGGGGGCCACAATTCGGCCCAGAGAGACCCCAAAGACGGCTTCCGACGGCGTCAGACGGGCCAGGAGGCCACCAAGACTGCCCAAGATGGCTCCAAGATGGTCCAGGACGGCCCAAGAGGCCCCCAAGAGGCCTCCAGGACGGCCTAAGAGGCCTCCAAGAGGGCACGCAGGAGGCCTCAAGAGGCCCAAATCATGGATTATCCTTCGGTTCTGTGGCAATTTGGCAGTTGCTTCTTTTCGATCTCCCGACGGCCCGAGACGGCCCAAGGGCCCCCACAGACCGCCCCAAGACTGCCCAAGAAGCCTCCAAGATGGCCCCAGAACGGCCCAAGAGGCCCCCAAGACGCCTCCAAGAGGGCCTCACGACAACCAAAGAGGCCTCCAAGGCGCCCAAGATGGCCTCCAAGACGGCCCTGGAGCACCCCAAGAGGGCCCCACGTCGGCCCAGAGAAACCCCCCAGGATGGCTTCCGACGGCGTCAGACGTGCCAGGAATGCCCTAAGACTGCCAAAGAGGCCCCCGAGAAGCCTCCCAAGGCCCCCAAGAGGCCCAAGGAGGCCCCCAAGATGCCTCCAAGAGGCTCCCAGGAAGCTCCCAGGAGGCCCCAAGAGTGCCCCCAGAGGCTCCTAAGATGCTCCCTCCTCCTCCTCATCTTCCTCCTCCTCCTGATCTTTCCCGCCATCCTCCCCAAATGCTCCCAGAAGGGTTTCCGCAACGGCTGACGGAACACATGGTCCGATAGCTTGGCAGAGCTCTTGCCACAATGCTCGGCCACGTGGGCGATTCCAAAAGGCAGGGGGCGGCGGTGATTCGCCGTAGGCGTCGTCGCTCCGCCGCCCCCATGTGGTCTTGCCAGAGGGGTGCCTGGCGTGCTAGATCCTAAGACTTGGTTTTGGTTCATTTCGAAAAGAACTCCCCCTGGGGCTTCGGCCCAGCGCGCCAGCCACCCAGAAGGCCGCACAATCCGTAGAAAAAAATGCCCGATCGCCTCCAAGACAGTCAAGATGACCCAAGATGGCCTCCAAGTTCGCCCAAGATGGTCCAAGATGGCCTCCATGATGGCCCAAGAGGGCCAAGATGCCTCCAAGTCTGTCCAGGAAGCAACCAAGACAGTCCAAGCTGGCCTCACGATGGCCCAAGACGCCCCCAAGAGGCCTCCAAGACGGCCCGAGAGGCCTCCAAGAGCACATCCAGGAAGGCCCGAAGAAACCAAAATCATGGCTCCTCTTTAGGTTTGTGAATGATTGGGGTACTTCCATCTTTCGGCGATCCGCCGAACCAAACCGGCACAAGAGGCCCCAAACGATCGCCCCAAGATTGCCCAAGAGGCCTCCAAGATAGCCCCATGACGGCCCAAGAGGCCCCCAAGACGGCCCCAAGACTGCCCAAGAGGTCTCCAAGACGCCAAAGGTGGCCTCCATGACGGCCATGAAGCACCCCAAGAGGGCTCCAAATTGTTTCAGAGTAGCCTCCAAGACGGCTCCCGATGGCGTCAGCCAGGTTAGGAATGCCCTAAGACTGCCAAAGAGGCCCCAAAGAAGGCCCTAAAGGCTCCCAAGAGGCCCAAGGAGGCCCCAAAGACGCCTACAAGAGGTACCCTGGAAGCTCCGATGGAGCCACAAGAGAGCCCCAAGAGGCTTCCTAAAGGCCTCCTCCTCCTCCTCCTCCATTTCCTCCCTCTCCTGATCCTTCCTCTCCTGATCCTCCCTCTCATCCTCCCCCAAGTGTTCCCCAAATAGCTTCCAGAGCGGCTGGGGGAACACATAATCCGATGGCTTAGCCAAGCTGGGGCCCAACGTTTGAGACGCTTCCCAAAAGGCAAGGGGCAGCGGTAATGCGCCGTAGGCGTCTTCGATTACAAGGACACTCAGGCACCCTGGATACTCCTCCTCGTACTCCCCCTTCCTCTTCCACTCCTGCTCCTCCTCCTCCTCCTCCTCCTCCTCATCCTCCTTCTCCTCCCTGCTTCCCTCCCTCCCTCCCTCCTCCTCCTCCTCTTCCTCCTCCTCCTCCTCTTCCTCCTCCTCCTCCTCCTCACCTCCTCCTCATCCTCCTCATCCTCCTCTTCCTCCTCCTCCTCCTCCTCCTCCTCAGGCACCCTCGACCTTCCTCCTCCTCCTCCTCCTTCTCCTCATCCTCCTTCTCCTCCTCCTCCTCCTCTTCTTCTTCTTCTTCCTCCTCCTCCTCCTCTTCCTCCTGCTCCTCCTCCTCCTCCTCCTGCTCTACCTCCTCTACCACCACTATTACCACCGCGAGCAGGGGCAATCATGGGTAACCTTCCCCAGCTGGAGGCGACATCTGGTCCTGGTGGTATCAATATGTGCCCCCCCGGATACCTTGTGCAGCACTATTGTGGGCTTGGCGCAGGTCAGCACGCCGCTCACGCAGGTTAATCCTGCACAGGCCGGGGGGCAGCAGAAGGTCACGGCGCACATGCCCATGGCACCCGTACCTGTCTGAGCAGCCTGCTGCAGGTGCGGCCAATCGAACGGCCCACACCTCTGGCGACTCAGAAGAGATCGCAGGACGAGTCTTTCAGTTTTGGGCGTTTGACAAATGTGTCGAAGCCCCAGTGCCGTCAAAAAGCGGCTCAGGATGAAGAACCGGTCCCCGAGAAGGGGTCGATAGCTCCAGGGGCTGGCGACTCGAAAGAATCGAGTCGTCGGAGGTGTAGGTCCGCGAGCCAGGGCCCCCCTTGAGCCTGAGACTCGTCCTTCGCAGTCGGAGCCAACATCTTGCCGACGCGGTGATCGCGGTAGCCATCGCAACGAGTGGTGAAACTCACCATTCACCACAAAAGATGGCGATACAGGCTGACGCGCGCCACACCCCTGATACACGACTTGCTGCGATTGCGCGCGGGAATGGATGTTTGACGTCGGCGGCACTCGCAAAGGGGCGGGAGCAGGAAGCACGAGGGTCTCCCACCTTTCCAATGCCCCGAGTCTGGCCGAGACAACGGCGCTCCCCCGAAACGCGGAGCACAGCATCACCAACGTGGTGGAAGTCGGCCGATGCTTCGGCCAGCCCCCAATCATTGACGTGATTACCATGCGGCAGCACCAGCAGCAGAGATGGCAGCAGCAGTGGCAGCAACAATTGGGGGTGCTGGTAGCAATGTCGGTGCCGCTCACGGTGGCAACAGCGGGGTCGGTTGGCACGTCCGTTCCCGCCGTCTGGTCGCCCTTGCATCACACTGGAAGCAATACAACATATTCTATATCTGGAAAAAAAGCGGGCGGCGGAGAAATAAACCTGAAACAGTAGCTGACGTATCGAAAGAAACGGCGGCAAGGCGAACCAACGAATTCAAATCAGTTGGAACTCCCCGTAAAAATTTGGCGGCAAATCGTCTTGTGACCAGTGCGGAATTATTCAGGCGGGCTGCGTTTTGCAATCCGTTGGAACAACTACAAAGAACATACAACACATACTATCTTAGGTGGGCATGGGACTCTCCCGAAACATATTTGCAATTCTATAGAAAAGGCGCACCGCGTGACGCGGAAGTGCGATATTTTTCAATTCCCAACCAGACGAACATTTCAACCCGCCCGCGGGCGCAACCGTAATCGCAACTAAGCAACAACAAAATGGCGGCGGGCTCGCCGGCCAAAATCAGTTCAAAATGGCGGCGGCAGGGGTGGGGGGCGCCCCCCCCAATCAGTACTGCAGTGTGTGATATGGAAATCCGGATGACAGATCGCTGATCGTTTCTGGTCGAGCGTCGAACCTGGCGTAGCTCTAAGGCCAAGGGCCCTAAACGATTGAGCGAAAACGGTTGCGGGAGAACAGGGAGTAAGAGCGCAGCAACAGAGGCAAGGAAAGAGTAGGAATGAAACCGCGGGGCCCTCGAAGCTTCTGTGGGGAGCTTTCTCGGGCCTTCTACATTCCAGGGGAATGAGCTTGATTCACACTCCTCCTAGTCGCCGCTCAGGCGCCTGTAGCGGTGACTAATTCAAGTCACTCGCAAAACTTCATTTCAAACGGACTATCTTGATAGTCAAGATAACGATGGTGCTAGAAGCATCAGCACTCACCGCATATTCTCGCGAGCGAAACAAGCCCACGCGGCTTGCAACGCAAGCTGCCCTCAGGGCGATTTAACGGGTGCTCGCACGCACCTGCAACCATATTCACAGCGCAACGGGCACTCGGCTGGAATCTTATTACTTTATAATAAGATAAGTTCTTGGTAGCGGAGCAGAGGTGGCGACTAGCATCGCCAAAAGAACAGAACGCACACACTGACAGGCAAGTGTTGCGAGAAATACAAAAACAATGGCGGAAGCAACACGGGCGGGTGATCGTCATCACCGCGAGAAAGATAGCGCGCAACAGCAAAAAACTGGCCTCACTTTAGCTTCACGGGGCGTATAGCTTTACAACAATGCGGACTCACGTAATCTTCACCGGGTGTATAGCTCTGCAGCAATGCGGACTTACGTAAGCTTCTTCGTGCCCCTTGATGGGATGTCGGTGCTACGCATCTGCGCCCATCTGCACTGGAGCTCATGGCGGATGCTGTCATGCAGCCTGCTGAAATCGGGCGCGCTGCCGGCACGATGGTTGCGCCTTAGCCGCGACGTGTGGCGCCTGCAGGTCTTGAAGGTCACGTACACGCTGCACGGGTTATGGCCCACCCGCAGATAGTGGCCCCGGACAGCACACTCGTTGATCTCGGTCGGCGAGTCGGCGTGGCGCTGGACCAGGATGTCGCACTCGCAGCGGCCGAACTGAACGAGCTGGAAATCGTCTCTGGCGACGAAGGCGAAGCAGGGCCGAAACTCGATGCCGATGACGCAGCTGACGGCTTGATGGGAGCTCCTCTGGCGCTGGAGCTGCTCTGGGCGGCCGATGCAGCAGCCGAAGATGGAGCCTGCAGCGGCGCGTCGGGCATGAAGATGTCGCCGTCCTCGTCGGCGTCCTCGTCGGCGGGTGGCGGCGGCGGCCGAAGGTTGTTGCGCCGTCCCAGGCGCCGGCCGTCCGAGCCCAGATGGGGCGCGCCCTCAGCCGGGAAGCTGCCCTTGATGTGGCGCTGGCCCAGGGCGCACCACATGACCGCAAAGATGCTGAACCCGAGGGCCATGCCGAGGAACATGGAGAAGCACGTCAGGTAGCACGTGTACCAGTAGTTGTTCAGGTCAAGCAGAGGCGAAGGCGCTGGCTGGCCCCGGACCTTGCCAATGCACGAGGCGAACACGGAGGCGATCATGGCGGCGTTTGGCTGCCTGGTGCCGAAGTTATGCTTCTTGGCGCCGAAGAACGAGATCAGCAGGCCGGTCTCCATCACCTTTGTGAGCGAGTCGGCAACCATACTCCAGGTGGGCACCCAGGTCAAGCGCAGCTCGCTGTTGGGGTGCACAGACTCCTTGAGCATGGAGGCGACAATGCGTGACCGCTTGTCGGAGGACTGGCCCACGTCGGACTGAGTGTGCGTGACGAGGCCCTTGATGTCGCTATAGACCTCCCCAGGGCGCTTCAAGCTGAGGTCGTCGATCTCCTTGAGCGGCTTCTTGGGGTTGTAGGCTTCGGTGAGCAGCTGGCGGAACCACGTATTGATCTCAGTCCCCTCGAGGGTTGCGTAGCCATCCGCTGCCGGCGTAGACTTCACAGACCTCTTGACGGTACCTGAGTGCCAGGCCACTGGCAGGCCAAGATCAGAACGGCCTCCGACCACATCACGCGGTCGATGGGTGAGGCCCATGGCCATGCCCCACTGACTTTTGACGCCGTCAATGTTTGCGAACGCGGCGTCGCTGAAACATACCGTGTTGCAAGTGTTCAGATCGATGAGGTTGCGCTTCAGCACGATGGCGAAGTCGGACGAGCCATGAACGTAGTTGACCGTCTTGTTGAGCGTCTTGGCGTCCGCGACAGTGGCAACATTTGTGCGCCTGGCGGCCATGCTGACCGGGCAGGCGATGTCGACTCGCGTCTGAACAGGAAGCCAGAGTAGTTGACCCAGCGTGTGGCGGCAACTAGACACCTCCTCCATGGACAGTGCGTCGTCGGGGGCGCGGCCTTTCACGAAAGAGATCTCGACGGGGTCAACCTGCTTGGCGGCTGTGGCCTGCGTGACGCGGAACTCTTCAGCAGACTTGGAAATAGTTCGGCCGCAGTACTTGATGATGCCTTCAACCTTCTTGAAGTGCAGCTTCTTCCCCAGGCTGTTGATGATGCGCTGCCATTCGCTCGAATCCTTGCGCTGGGCAGTCAGGAAGTCGTCCACGTGAGCGTGGTAACGGCGGCCAGGCCCTTAGAATCGTAGAAGTAGTAGAGACCCTTCTCGAGCTTGCTCTCGACGAGGCCGTGGTCCTTGAACACCTTCTGGGCGTAGAGGTACCACTGCCTTCCTGCATCGTGAGTGCCATAGATGGCCCCCCGTTGCCATCACAATTTCGCCGGGTGACGTACCTGGCGGCGGATTCTTCGCTGGCATGCGAAGCAGTAGGAGTCTCTCGATGTTGCCCGACTGGAGGTAGGCCGCCATGGCGTCATACGACGTGAGGTCCCAACCAGCTTGAGCAGCAGCAGCAAGTGTAAGATAAAGAGCATCTCTAGATCCAGTAGGTGCAACTGTGCGGATCTGCGACTTGCCCTCCTGACATCCCTCAACGCGTGCCCACTGGGCGAATGCCAAGAGTTCGCCTTAGGAGCTCCTTTAGTTCCTTAGGCGGCAGCTTCTTGTAGGCCCCGAACTCCGTCCACTTTGACCACTCGACCTTCATCGCCTCATCCATGAGCTTCTTCTCCTTGATGGACATGTTGTCGTACTTCAGCTCCTTGGCGGCGGCCTTCCCGGTGAGGAAGACTTCACGTAATGAGGGCGCAAACTGCATCTCGTCAGCGTTGGCCTTGAAGTAGTTGTCCAGGTAGTAGTCCGTCTTGTTTGTGTCGCGGGGCTTCTTGAAGCACTTCGGTAGGTCGTCCAGCAGCTCCTTCCTCTTGGCGGCTCGAACTCGCGGATCATCGCGTTCTTGGCAATCACGTCTTAATGTCTGCGGAGCGTCTTCTTGCTGAGCACGTCGCTGTACCTTAGCTCCTCTCTGATCAGCGTGATGTCGCGGTCGGCGCAGTTCAACCTCCTCCTTGGTCTGATCCTCCATCTTCCGGGCCAGCTCGCGGATGAACTCGGAGCCTGAGCTATCTTCATCGTCGTCAACTGGTCCTTCTTGATGTGGTTCTGGAGTTCCGATTCGAAATTCTTGAGACTGTCGATCTTGATCAGGTTCTGCTGGGGCTGGTGTTGGTGGCTGTGTAGTTTTAGTAGGTGGTGGCTTAGGAGCGCCCGCCGACTTGGCTGGTGGCTGCTCCGCCTTTGGCGCGGCGCCCGCCGGCTTGGCCGGTGGCTGCCGAGGAGGGCGTAGAGGTGATGGTGGCTGATCGGCAGGCTGGTCGACAGGACCAGAGTCGGCGGCTGCGGCGGCAGCAGGAAGTAGGTCTCCTCCCGAAGGTCCTGGCGGCAAACCACTTCCACTAGCTCCTCCAGTTGGTGCGATATCGTCATCACCTTGTTTACGACTCAGACATTCCATGAAGGCATGTTGCCGTCGGTTTGCTGGCATATCTTCGATGTTACCGAGACTCGGCGGCGCTGGTGCTGGCGGCGGTAGGGCGGCCGGTGGAGTTGGTGCGTCTTGAGTGCGCGGTCGCTTCTGAGGCGTAGGGCCAGTAAGGTCCATGAACACGTCCTCGTCGGTATGGTCGACCGCTGGCTTGTCTGGCGGTGGGGGCGGTACGCCTCCTCCAGGTCCTCCTCCACCTCCTCCTCGATCGTGAGGTGGTCGCCCGTCGGGAGCATCTCCTGGTGGGTGGCCAGCTGGTGGTGGCGGCTGCCCGTTCATGGCGTTCAGGACTTGGCCCCATGGGACGAGTTCTGACGCTGTGGCATGTCGAAGGTGTCCGCGATTGACCTTAACGGTCGTGGAGCGATGGCTGACCCACACATTGGACGTGCCCTCGAACCCAACAATGACGCCTGGTCCATGCCACTGGAGAGCCCAATCGCGCTTGGGCTTCCCATTGCCGCGCCAGTAGTAAACTTGATCGCCAGTCTGGTAGAAGTCCTGCGCATGCTGTGCGCCGTCCGCCCGTGACAGGGCCAACAGCGCTCTCGACAGGGACTGGTTGAAGCGCAGGTGCTTGATGGAGGTCTGAGCGGCCTTCATGATGGCGACTCTCTCAGAGAAGGGCTTGTCAGAGACGATGCGCTCATGTAGCGATAGGCGGCCAGCATTGTCTAAAAGCCAATGTGGCAATCGAAGTCCACGTCCGAGAACCCACTGGGCTGGTGAATAGCCGCTGGCATTGACTGAGCTGTTCATGGCCCAGCAGACGGCGGCGAGCGACCACTGAATCTTGCGAGCCTCGGCTGGCTGGTCGAACCTGATGCTGAACTGGTCGATCAGCTTGCGAGCGTGTATCTTCCAGAGTCCACCGTGCCGTTCAAACGTGGCATTCTGCTGCGGTGTCGCAGCTGACGTTGTCATAAACTGGCAACCCATGTCTTCGAACTCCTTTGAAAACTCCCTCTCGAACTCTCCTCCTCCATCAAATATCACACGTTGTGGGGCCCCAAACGGTGTAATCCAAACCTGTAGGAGCCGTGCGAATACCGTACTCGGGTGTCGTGTCGAAACCGTTCAACACATCGTAAACCCGGAAGCCAAATCAACGTTATTCAAGAAAACCAACTGATTCCCAGCATAATCGGCCAGTGTAAATAAATCCACACCAATTGAATCGTTGAAATCCCTATCTAGTCGAATCCTTCCAGGTAAGTACGGTAGGGGTCGCTGATGAGCGGCACAGACTTCACAATATAGGTTGAGAGCCATCTCGACCGAACGTTGGGATCCGCCAGTGATGCGGATGGCCCGTGCCAGCGACTCGTTGGACGGGTGGCCCGTGTTGACGTGGAGCTGCATGATGGCGGACTTCAAGGTTCGCTCCTCCACTGCCGTCAGAAATGGCTCGGCGGCAGCGGCCGGGACAAGTACGGTACGTCGTGCTGCCCTCCTCCGTAGTGGCTGCGCTGGCTGACTAGGATTGGCCTCCCTTGGAGCCGGCGCGCTCGGCTTGCGCAACTGCTTGGCAAGGGCGCGGACGAGCTCGTAGGTGTTGTTCTCGCTGTTCTTGGCGTCTCGGCCTCGGGCTTCAGCGTGTCGATGAGTCCGATCGCAGAACCTCCTGAGCGAGTTGTCCACCCCAAAGTGGTCGGTCACGATCCCCCACGGCTTCTCAATCGGGTCTCCCTTCTTGGTCTTCAGGTTGTAGGCGCATCCGTCGAAGTCGATCACCCTCGGAAGTTGACGTCGTAGTTCGTTGGCGATTGGGTTCTTGTGAGGGTTCCAGCCGTCGCAGTAGCGCGGCCACTCGAAAGAGACGGCAAGGTACGTGCCGAACTCCTTACGAAATCGTCGCATGGAACGAAGGAACAATGAAATCATCCTCGACGACTTCCCCCTGTCCGCCTCGAGCTGCGGGGTCTTCTTGGGGTCGATCTTGACGATGAGCCGTTGTAGCGATGTCCATGGTGTGCAAGGAAACGCTGCATGTACGCGGACGTTGTGGTTCTGCTTGCGCTTCCCTCTGAGTTGCTTCTCGAGCTCGTTGACGACCGCTGGTCGCGAGAGATCGTGCGCGGGTAGTCCACAACGAAGTGCAGCTCCTCCGGTGGCTGTCAACTTCTTGCTAAGCTTGCTATCTGGATTGCAACACCATTCGAACAAAGTAGTAGACGTAGGACTTGGAATTCAACTAGTCCTCGTAGCAGACTGTGCCAGGTCTGTCTTGAGAGCCTGGTTCACCATATGCGGGATGATGCCGCTCTTGTTGGTGACGATGGCTGTGCGACGTCCCGCGGTAAGTAGCGGCTTCGTCCCCTTCTTGAGCGCACGGGCCTTCAACTGCGCCTCCTCCACAATGTTAACCTCCTTCCTTGTATCGTTTTCGATGTTGAGCTGAACCGAAGAGCCAAACACGAATTCCGGGCAAAACCCCAGGTGTAGGCAATCCGCGTGCGGCGTGGACCCACAGGCGACGCAGTCGTTCGTGGGCTCGGCACTGTAGGCTGTTCGCGTAGGGGTTGAGGTAGGCGGTGCGGTAGCTGTCGTCGAGCAGCAAGCCAATGCGGATGCCACGGCAGCCACTAGCCGTGACCCCTTAGGCCTCCTCGGCTGAAGACGCCGAGGTATGTCGATCTCCTTCTTCTGGATCAGCATCGAGATGCGTTCCTGGAGCGTGGAGTCCTTCGTGGTGTTGTTGACGGTCGGCAGCTGGTCCTTGCGAGTAGCGCGCGTACTGGTATCAGTTAGCAGCCCGTCCTTACGAACGGTGCACATGCTGGAGTCCTTCACGGCATCCCAGGTCTCGGGCTGAAGCTGAATGGCAGGATGTCCTGCGCTGCTAGTGACAAGCTTCTGGGCTGTGTTGCCGATGCGGATCTGGCCCTTGCACAACGAGATGTCGATCTTGGAGGGTTGGACAGAGTCGCGGCCGATGAGCAAACCGAGCGTTGGGCTACCCACGACGCTGAACACGATGCGTCCTGCGCGGCCGCAAAGGACGAGTGGGGCGGTGATGCGCTGCTTGCTGGGGAGCGCGCCACCGTTCCCGAAGCGGTAGATCTCGTCCTCGGGCTCCTCCAAGATCTGGTCGCTTAGGCCAAGGCCGACAAGCTTGTCCTTGTAGCGATGATACCACTTGAGGCCGGCGACGCAGAACAGGCAGGCAGTGTCGATGACGCCGATGCCGTCGTCGTTGGGCCTCATGCCATTGTTGGTGATATTGACCATCGGTGGGTCCGGGATGACACGCTCAGAGACCAGGGTCTCGGGTGGTGGAGTTACTGGCCCTTCGGGATGTCGAGTGACCTCCTCGTCCCCAAACTCGACCTGCTCGGTGATGTTCGCTTGGCGATGGGAGCGTTCACCACGTCCTCCACCCTTGGTCTTACCCATGGACGGCGCGAACTTGCGGGCGCCCGGAGCGGGACACTCCTTATCGCCGGTCCAGTGGCCCTTCTCGCCGCAGTCCCAGCAATGCGAGGACTTCTTGCGCTGGTCGACGCGGCTCTGCAGGTTCTTGGCAGGCGGGCGTCGGCGTTGCGATGCCTTCCCGCGGCCCTTGAGGGCATCCCGAGCCGGCCTGATGGTGGCCATAGCCTCGGGGATGGCGGCCAAATCGGCCGCAGCGGCCTCCACCTTCGCGGAGTCGTCGCCGTCGAGCAGCTCGGAGATCTCCACGTTGGACGCCTCCAGCTCTGCGCTGAACGCCTCGAGCTCCTGTCGGACGATGTCCTGGACGTCGGCCTCTGTGTTGGTGTCGTCCTCCTCGCCCTCTTGCTCGTCGTCGTCCTCGGGCCCCTCCACGATGTTGGTGGATCGGGCCCGACCAGGTGGTGGTCGCTGCCAGCTGCGTCTGGACCTTGTAGATGAAGCGGCCCACGAGCGCGTGGGAACACTGGAGCGCCTCTCGGACGCGTGCAGGTCCGGAAACATGCGCACCAGCAGGCTGCGGATGCGCTGGTAGGAGTAGTGCTCGTCGGGTAAGTTGCCGACGACTCGCTCGCGACGCTCGGCCGTCAAGCCGGCCTTGCGGATTAGGAACCATCCCGCCACGTCGTCGAGCGTGTTAAGGTCCACCTCGTTCTCGCGCAGCTGCTGCAGACCGGCCTCGAAGCGGACGAGCCAGTCCGTCATCCGTTCACCACGGCGGCGATGATGCTGCGTGGACGCGAAAAACTTCTCGAGCGTCTCGCCCTTCTGCACGGGTTTCTGCTGGCCCAGGTGGGCCTCGAGATGGGTGAGCACGTTGTTGATGCCCCGCAGGTTGCTGTCGCGCTTCCTCTCGGCGGCATCCTCGATGTCGTCGTCGGCAGGCGGGTGCAAATCTTTCTCGGGCATGTTGAGCGCGGCCGAGCGGGCCGTGCCCGTGAGGCGAAGCACCGACTTGGACGCGAGGCTCTGCGTCACCTCTGGGTTCTCGCTGAGCTTCCAGAGCTTCACCTCCTGCTTGAAATCGCGCCACTTGGCTGGATCGCCGCTCCAGGTCGGGATGACCGGGTTGGTACTGTTGAAGTTGTGGTGGTCAGCCATTGTGATCAACGTGAGATTGAGCTCGTAGATGCTAAAATTTACGTCGCTGACGTCTAAGAAGGCGCTGGCGTTGCTGACGCTGGCGTAGTTGAACTTGTAGAAGCTGGGGTCGACGTCGCTGACGCCTAGGATGAAGCTGGCATCGCTGACGCTGGCGTTGGCGAAATTGGACTTGTAGATGCAATTGTTGACGTCGCTGACGTCTGGAAACTCGTACAGGTAGAAGCTAGCGTCGCGGACGCTGGCGGAGTTGAGCTTGTAGATGCTGTTGTTGTTGCTGACGTCGCTGGCGTCGAACTCGTACTGGTAGATGCTGGCGTCGCTGACGCTGGCGGGGTTGAACTTGTACAAGCCTTTGACGTCGCCGACGTCTGGTGAGTACTCGTACAGGTAGTCGCTGGCGTCGCTAACGCTGGCGAAGTTGAGCACGAAACTCAAGCCGATGAGGGCTCGCAGGACGCCGCGGGGCGTCGATTCCGTGGCTCGCGGCGGCGTCGTCGTGGCTGGTATGTAGGCGGCGCGCGGCGCTGGGCAGCTGAGACCCGCTCCAAACTACCACTGTGATATGGAAATCGGGATGGAAGATCGCTGATCGTTTCTGTTCGAGCGTCGAACCTGGCGTAGCTCTAAGGCCAAGGGCCCTAAACGATTGAGCGAAAACGGTTGCGGGAGAACAGGGAGTAAGGGCGCAGCAGCAGAGGCAAGGAAAGAGTAGGAATGAAACCGCGGGGCCCTCGAAGCTTCTATGGGGGGCTTTCTCGGGCCTTCTACATTCCAGGGGAATGAACTTGATTCGCACTGTGAGCACCGAAGAAACCATAGTGATGCCCTTGCCACTTCCTCCCCTGTTCCGCGCTCGGCCGCGAAGGTGTCCCCCAACAACGGTGTTGCCTCTGCCTTGCAGTGTTTTGCCTCGCAGACTCGAGGAGTAGCGGTCGAGGGCGTTAAAAATATCGACCACTAACTCGCCACCGTCATTCCACGCCGAATAGCAGAGCCCGTCAGGACCAGGGGCGAAATCTTTGAACCGACACACAAGATTGCGAACACATTTCCAAGACATCGGCCACTCGACTCTCGGATGGCAGGGCTGGATGAACGGGGTAAACTGGGCGGCGACCTCGCGAGAGGCAGGCATTTCTTACAGTCATCGGCCTGACCTAAGGAACGACTCATAAGGAACGAAGCCCCTTTTTCTCCATGTAAGTCTACGAAGTCCGAAAGAACGGCCGAGCCCCTTCCTTGCGGCGTCCCGCCACTATTTGCTCTTGCGATTCGACCCCCGCCCCTTCAGCCAAACTACCAGGGAACGCAAGCCCCCTCCTGCCCCGCCGCTCCGACATCTTACGCAGAAGCGCAGCCTGCGAACGACGCGTTAGGAACGCCAGGGGCTCGCGCGGGGGACTGGGCCTTAACTTGGCCACTTTCCGATTCGATTCCGCGCGTGAGCCCCAACTCGCACCGCGCCAGGGGCGCCAAGGGCTCGCGTGGGGGACTGGGCCTTGACTTGACCATTTTCCGATTCGATCGCGCACGTGGGCCCCAACTCGCACCGCGCAAAGAACGCCGGGGAGCTCGCGACGGGGACTGGGCCTTAAGGTGGCCACTTTTCGATTCAATACAAAACTAGCCAATCGTTTCACCTGTCTTGTGGGGGCCGCCATGGAGCCGCACGATATGGAACGACGCGCGGGTGGCACGTGTCACCCCGAGATCCGTGTGAGAAGAATCATGTGTCTCACTCGTATTCTGGTCGCCGGCATGGGGCCATACTGTGCAAAACAACACGCGGGTGACGCGCGTCACCCCGAAAGTGGACGAATCTTTTCTTGGCTATGCCAAAACCGCTTGATCCATCATGGCCACGACGGACCTGCATATCCAACCAGCCCTCCCGGCGGCCGGCACCTCTCGCGCGCCCGGCAGCCGCTCGCTCTGGTAGTCGTTACTACCCGATGCCTCGCTCTCAACATGGTCGACCGGCTGTGCCGGCTGGGCTCAACGGGCCCAGTGGATCTCAAAACGGTAGCGGAGCATGGCGATCCACGGGAAAACTGGCTCAAGCTGTGGACCCCAGCGCCGCCTTCAAGGCCAACCTGCTCGACCCCGTCATTTTGACGAAGCCCAGGCTGGCGAGGGATCTGGCGATCAACGTCGCCTCGACATGCTTGGTGCCAAGGTCCGCGCCGTCGCTGGCGCCCGGCACCTTCCTGATCTTCACAACTGCACGGCCCTCTGTATCCAGAGGAGGGGCGCATGCAGATGGCGGATGCGTCCTGCGCCGCGCCGCGACACCTTTGCCCGCGGTGGCGTCGCAGCACAGCTCCACGTCGACGTTGCCGTAGCCGTTGTCCCCCAGCAGGGCGCGGAAGCTAAGCCCCGCCGAGGCCCCCTTGACCAGGGCGTGGAACTCGGCCCCCCCCGTCGAGACGCTCTGCACCTGCTGGGTCGTCGAAGACGACTTGATCCAGTGCGAGCCGCGCAGCGCACTCATTGCCCAGGTGGACTTCCTCGTCCGCGTGCAGCCCGCGAAATCACTGTCCGTGAAGATGTTCAGCTTCTTCGGCGGCGACTGCCTGGCGCACGTCGCTAACAGCCGCGGAGCCCCCAGCAGGTAGCGCCCCACCCTCTTGAGCGCCTCCCGGCCTCCCAAGGTCGGCGCCTGCACCGCGCGCGCCGCCTCCATCGAGCTGAACTGCAGGTCGGGCCTGTCCGGCGGGAGGTAAGCCAGCCTCATGCGCGCGGACCTGTACATCTCGCGCTCGCGCCCCTTCAGCCCCTCGCCGCCCGGCGTATCCTTCTCGACGCCAGGCGCGCTGACGGGCTTGCTCTTGCCGTCGAGCCCGAGGCGCGCCAGCGCGATCTCCACGTGCCGAGGGCCCGCCTAGCACTCGACGCGGTCGGGCGAGACCCCGCCGCCTGGCACCCAGCGCAAGATGCGGTTGAGCACCACGATCTCCTTCACGTCGCCCTCGCTCGCCTCCGGGCCCAGGATGCCGCGGCACTGGACGATCAAGCGCTTGCCCAGGCCTGCCTCGAAGTCCCTCGCCTCCGAGCGCCCGCCGAAGACGACGAAGTCGTCGCCGTGGCGCCGCGCCACCAGCGACCCCATCCTGTAGACGCACAGGCTGAACTGCCTCTGCCGCGCCCCAAGCTCCTCCATGACCTTCTCCACCTTCAGGTCGAAAGCCGCGCCAGCATCCCGCAGCCCGTGCATGGCCTTCAGCAGGAGCCAGCGCTCGTCCTCCCCGCACTTCTCGTCCTCTGCCGGCGCCTTCAGGTAGACGCGCCGTAAGAGCTCCGAGTGCAGGTGGGCCCTGGATATGTCCAGAGGGTCTTGTACTCCGAGCCTCTGCACGACGTGGCCATGGAGAGCAGCAGCCGCAGCCCCTCGAGCGGCGGCGTGGTCGCGAAGGTCTGCGCTGCGTCCTCAGGGCCCAGCGCGCTGAGCCTCCGCGTCTCCTTCGCGACGAGCCTGCTGCGGATCTCCGGCCTGCGCTCGTCGCCCTTGTTCGCGTCGACCCAGCCGCTGGGCAGCGGCCGAGTCCCCTTGGCAACATGGCACTCGCTCGTCGGCACCCGCCGGAAGACGCCCAGCCTCTCCATGTAGGCCATCTCCTCAGCTCGCGCCGCGCGCGCCATCTTCGGGTCCAGCCGCGCGCCCGAGATGCCATCGAAGAACTCCTCGAGCTCCTCCGGCGCCACCGCCTCGATGGCCTCTGGCTCCTCGATCGTAGCGCCGACCTCGCACGGATCCCACGCCCGATCTCCAGCTGCTCACGCATGCCTGACAGGATGGCCTTGACCAGCGGGATCGGGTACCGCTCGGCCGCCATGCTCCTGCCTCCGACCAGGTGCACGTGCTGGTGGTCCTTGGTGCACAGGACCCCCACGCGCTTCGCGATGGCCGGGCTGTTCGTCATCCAGCCCGTCGCCTTCGCCACCGGCCTGGCGACCCCGTCTGGCCCCTTCGAGGTCTGCCCGAAGCCACACTGGTGGCCCTTCACCACCATGACGCCCTCCAGCAGCCGCACCTTCTCTACGATCTTGAGGTGCCAGCTCCAGGCCGTCCACGGGTGCTCGTACAAGAAGAACCGGCCCTCGCGCTGCTGGAGTGCGCAGATCACCAGCACGAGCTCGAGGTAGACGACGCAGCGCTTCAGCAGCGCCTGGTACCGCTCCTGGTCGCGCACCTTCTCGCCATCTTCAGGATCAGCGAGAATGGCGTGCACGCGGGGCTCGCCACCGCGAACATGGGCTTGCTCTCCGTGATCTCCTGCATCGCCAGCTCGCGCTGGCTCTTGTCGTGGAAGTCCCAGCCAGTCCGCAGGTCCATGGCGAGCGATCCCCGGCTTCAGGTCGAAGCACGGTGCCAGCCTGCAGACCTCGCCCGGGTTGAACACCTCCGCGATGTCACCCTCGAAGGCTCCTAGCTGCATCAGCAAGGTGCCTATCTGCCTAGCGTCCGCGATCGTCAGCTGGCCCACCTCCATGCTCTGTGGGGCTGCCGCCGACGCGGCGCCGCCCGACCCTGGGGAAGCGCTCGGGCTGGGCTCGGCGCCGGGGCCTGGCCCGGAGCCGGCTACGCTGGCTTGCCCTCTTGGCCTCAGGAGCCGCCCGGTCCTCCGCCGAGGGGAGTGCCCTCCTGGCCCTCGCGCCCTCGACTCGCTGGCTCAGGTCCATGTCCGATGCCATGGCCTCCTCGATGCGCTTCGGGCACTCCTCTGAGCGCGCCTGAGCGCGCCGCCCGAGGGCCGCTGACGTGCAGCCGTAGCATCCCTCGGTGTACCCGTGCCTCTGCAGCTCGACGTCGCGCCTCAGGTAAACGCGCCTCGGCGCTCCTGGCGTCGCCGGCGCCGGCACCTCCGGCAGCTGCGCGTCGGGCACCACCTGCATGGTCCGCCACGATCTTCACGTGCGCCGGCGGTGCCGCCAGGCCGCCGCCCCCGTCGGGGGCGCGACTGCCCTCGATGCCTCCAGGGACCGGGTCCCAGGGCACCCCGCGCATCTCGGCCAGCAGCACCTTGTCCGACCAGCTGGGCCCCAGGAGGCGCCTCGCGCCGCGGGCCCGGAAGACCCCCTTCGGCGCGCCGATGCACACCTCGTCGGTGCCCTCCACGACCCCGAAGAGGATGCCCTCCAGCCACTTGCCCACCAGCCGCGATTCCCTTGCCCGCAGGAAAGTAAAAGACCTTCTCCGAGAAGGCCGGCAATGGCTTCTTGAACGCCCTGCGGGAATAACCAATCCGTGTCCCCAATCCGTAGGCGTATGAGCACACCACGCAGCTCGCAGAGCTGCGGCGACCGTTGTGTGGCGGTCCCCACTTATGGTACGCAACACATGCACTTACGTAAATATGTAATGTAATCCCACATATATGTAGACTGTGTACCTGGAGAATAGAAGACACCAGCCCAAAGAAGAACTGAAGTACAACATAATCCAAGTGTTGACACATGCGATCCAAATAATAACCATTGAATACGGTTATAAGCTATTGTCGGAGGAAGTGGGTGCCTGTGGTTTCTTGTGTCGGTGGTCCAGCGCACGCTGCCTCATGCTTGCCATAGCCAACACCATTTTTGTCCAAGTAGTCGTGGTCCTCCTGGTGAGGTCCTCCGTCGGCCAGCCCAGCCGGCGGGTGAGGTCAGCCGTTGGTACCGCGATACCTTGCCGGAGGTCGGCGTTGGCTGTGCACACCCAGTACATGTGGTCGAGCGTCGGGACGCGCTGCTCACCACAGTGGTCGCAGGTGGTCGAGACCTCCTCGCCTTGGTTGGACTGCAGCAGGGCGTCCGAGACCACGCAGCCGCAGAGGACGGCGGCGATGTGTGAGGCGAGGATTGGGTTAGCTTTCCGTGCTTCCTGTGCCGCGCGCACGGCAGCAGCTGGGAAAGGCACTCCGGCCGCCATGGGGCTCTCCCGCCTGCTCCGGCCCTGTAGGATTGCCCATTCGTGGGATCGGAGTATGAGTCGTAGTTCGTGGAGCTGTCGGTCTGTTCTGTCGGTAAGTCGGAGTTCTCCCGCCGGGCCTCTCCAGAAGCCGTCGTCGCTGCGCTCTGCTCCAAGCGATGCCAAGTGTGCTCGGTAGGCGTGGAGTGGCCCCCGCGTGTCGGTCTTGATCGTGATCTTGTCCCAAAGCGCAAGTGCTCCAGGCCCCTGTCGACGTAGGGTGCTGCTCAGAAGTTGTAGTGCTCGCCGGCGCAGGTGGTACCGTAGGTCGGTGCTATGCCCCATTACTACCAGACGAAGTAGTTCGGGAGCTGCCCCGGGCCATTTCCGCAGGGTCACAGCCTTTCGTGCTTGTCGTAGATGGTCCTGGATAGCTCCTTTTGTCGGTGGCGTCACCACTAGTGCCCAGCTCGACACCGGCAGCGCGATGGTGCTCTCCGCGGTCGTGCGCAGCCGCATGCTCAGGGGCAGGCACGCAATCCGCTTCATGCGGGCAAGTGCCTCTTCAAGCTTGCCTCGCTCTCTGGTCGTGAGCGTCGTGCGTTGCATCGTGAAGTCGATTCCGAGGCATTCCATCTTCTTGCTCTGCAGGTAGTAATTGTCGCACTGGTGCGGTAGTATCGTGAAGGACTGCGTCTTGCTGTCGTTGGTGCGCAGCGCGGTGACCGACTCCAGCAGCTCCCACTCCTCCTCGATGCTCCGTAGTTCTTCTGCCTCTGTCGTGGCCGCCGTGCGGTCGTCCGCGAAGGTGCAAAAGGTTGCTCGTGGGTGCAGAGCAGCTTGCCGTCGTAGTGGCCCCATGAGCAGGGTGGCCATCCCGAGCATGGCTGTCTTGAACGCCCTGCGGGGGAATAACCAATCCGTGTCCCCAATCCGTAGGCGTATGAGGACACCACGCAGCTCGCAGAGCTGCGGCGACCGTTGTGTGGCTGTCCCCACTTATGGTACGCAACACATGCACTTACGTAAGTATGTAATGTAATCCCATATATATGTAGACAGTGTACCTGGATAATAGAAGACACCAGCCCAGAGAAGAACTGAAGTACAACATAATCCAATTGCTGACACACGCGATCCAAATAATAACCATTGAATACGGATATAAACCATTGTCGGAGGAATTGGGTGCCTGTGGTTTCTTGTGTCGGTGGTCCAGCGCACGCTGCCGCATGCTTGCCATAGCCAACACCATTTTTGTCCAAATAGTCGTGGTCCTCCTAGTGAGGTCCTCCGTCGGCCAGCCCAGCTGGCGGGTGAGGTCAGCCGTTGGTACCGCGATACCTTGCCGGAGGTCGGCGTGAGCTGTGCACACCCAGTGCGCGTGGTCGAGCGTCGGGACGCGCTGCTCACCGCAGTGGTCGCAGGTGGTCGAGACCTCCTCGCCTTGGTTGGACTGCAGCAGGGCGTCCGAGACCACGCAGCCGCAGAGGGCGGCGGCGATGTGTGAGGCGAGGATTGGGTTAGCTTTCCGTGCTTCCTGTGCCGCGCGCACGGCAGCAGCTGGGAAAGGGCACTCCGGCCGCCTCCTTCAGCTCGCACGGCGCCCTGCCGTCGGCTGCCCGCTGGCCTCGGTTCAGCATCGAGCCAGCGCGCCACGCCAGCCAGGGCAGAACTGGATGACTCTGCCCAAACCCCGCCCTGCAGCTCCTCCGCCGCGCGCCGCAGCGCGCGCGCGAGGCCCTCGACGTCTCGCGCCGCTCCTTCTGTGAGCCCGTTGCTCTGGGACTCGCCCGCGGCAGACTCCTCGGTCATGGCCGTGGCGCCGTTCTCCTTGAGCCGCGCCGCTGCTGCGGCCTTCAGGGACACGATGGGCTTCTCCTGGTCCGACTTCAAGTGCATCTTCGCATGGTCCATCTGCGCGCAGAGCCTCGCCAACGTCTCCACGTTGAAGGGGTGCGTCAGCCCCTTGCTCGGCAGTACCTCGCTCGAAATCCATCGAATCGCCGAGTCGCGCGCCGCCGGGGTCGGCGAGGAGCCGTTTTCGCCGTCCTGGCTGCCGCCCAAATACGCGTAGTCCAACGCGACGATGGGCGCTCCGTCTTCCGCGCGGTCGCACGGCTTACGTGGGGCCGCGCGCCCGCGGCCCGCCGCGCAGCGGCGGCGCCGCGCTCGGAAGGGGACGCGGCTCACCTCGTGATCCATCTTCTGCTGCTCCGTGGGCTCCCACGGTCTCCTCGCAGCCCTTCACTGGGGCCTCCGCCTCGCTCTCGCCGCCCCCGCCCGGCCGCGCCGGGGGGCGCTGCTCGCCGCCCTCGCCCAGCTGTGCCGGTGAAGGCTGCTCGCCGTATGGGGTCCTTGACGACTGGGGGGGGCTCATCGTCTCCACCTCCATGCAACGGGCAGATCTCACTGCCCTCCGCGAGAGCTGGGCTTACAGCGGTCAGGCCTGCCGGGTGAAACCCGACGGCCTCTGGCCCAGCACCTCGCGCGCCTTCGCGCGCGGGTAGACGTCCATCTCGTGCACGCTGTTGCGCCTCACGAAGTTGATCTCCTGCCCTGTGCTCTCGTTCCTCGCGAAGCTCCGCTCGCGGCCGAAGACGATCGCATGCCCTGCGTCGACCATCTCCGAGACCGAGGCCAGCCTCTTTGTCACATGGGCCACCCTCGCCTTGATGCCCTCGAACACGCGCGCGCCGCCCGCGGCGGTGATCTCGCCCGCGAGCTCGCGCGTGCAGCAGTCGGGGACCCAGCCACCGTCAGCCGCGCGGTAGCCCTCGCCCCTCCTGCTCATCTCGTTATCCACCAACGGGTAGTCTGCGAAGCTCTCCATGGTCATCACCGTCGTCGCCGCGCTGGAGTCCACAACCATCGCGAGCTTCCGAGGGCCGCGAGCGACCGCTCCCAGTTCCAGCAGCTTGCCGTAGAGCTCCTCGCTCGCGATCCCGTTGTCCTGCAGCAGGTCGCAGGCCTCCTGCGCCGCGCTGCCTTTGTTCAGGGCGTTGAGGAAGAGCCCGCGGATGGCCTTCTCGGGCTCCGGCTCGCGGCCTGCCTCGACAGCGGGGACCTCGCGCTGCTTGCAGTGCTTGGCGATGTGGCCCGGCTTGTTGCGCTTGTCACGCGCGCTGCTCTGGGCCGCGCCCAGCGCCAGCGCCGCCGCCCGAGCCTCCTCCGCCACCGCGGCCTCCCTTGCTGGCCTTGCCGTCGTCTCCCCTGGCCTAGCCACCGCCGCCGCCGCCGCCGCCCTTGCCCTTGTCTGTGAACCAGCAGTCCTTCTTGAGGTGCCCCTGGCGGCCGCAGTTGCGGCACGGCCCGACCGGCTTCGGAGGCTGAGGGTAGCCATGGCCGTTTCCCTTCTTGCCACCCTTCCCTCCTCCTTTGCCCCCGAAGGCACCGAGCTCCATTGGCATCGCTCCTCCTGGAGTCGCCGCCGCTGCTGCCTGAGCTCGGCGCGCGTTCGCGATCTCCTCGCGGAACTGCACCCGTTGCTCGATCCGTTCCGCGTTCATGATCATGTGCTGCTTCGGCGGGCTGTCTGGCAACCTCTGCAGCACGATCCCGATTTTGATGGCGTTGCTCAGCTGTTCGCCCGTCTGGCCTTCGTAGACTGAGATCTCGCGCTCAAAGGCCTCCATCCTCGTGATGAGCTCGCCGCTGAAGTCCCAGCTGAGCAGCTGCATCAGGAGGCCCGCGTACCTCGTGCGCACCTGAGGCTCGTAGCGGTGGTTCAGTTGCCGCCACGCCTCTAGGCCCTCCAGCGCACCTGAATTCAGCACCACGTCAAGGCGTCAAGGGCCTGGGCCCTGCACGTCTGCACAAGCCAGTAGTGCAACTGGCGGCTGATCTCCACGTCGTCATCCTCCAAGGTCGCGTTGAGCATGGGGGCCGCCGCCCTCGCAGGTCGCTGGAGCGCCTCGGCCATGCGAGGGTTGGTCGCCCCGGCGTGCGCCCCGAAACCCACCGACCAGTCTCGCCACTCCGTGCCGTCGAAGTGATCTGGCTTGCCTATCGTCCGAACCTCTGCGGCCCAGCGCTCTGCCGCCGGCGCCGCTGCCTCCCGCTGTGCGGGTGCAGCCGCCCGCGCCTCGTCCGCTGCCTGCCGCGCCTGCGCGGCCCTCCTCTCGCCGCGGTGAGTTCCTGCTGCATCGCGTGCATCTGCGCCAGCAGGTCACGCAGAACCTGCTCCGCCATCACTGCCGCTGCCTCGCAGCACGGTTTGGGCGCCCTCCTAGCACCCTGAGCTCGTTCAGGTCGTGGCCAGGAGCAGCCCAGATCTTCCTCAGCCTTGCCACCCACCTGAGCTTCCTCGCGAAGCAAGCCCAGGCTGTGACCAGCGCCGCTCGGCGCAGCTCGAGAGCCTCCTGGCTCGTGTGCTCGGCAGCAGCCCAGGCGCGTCGGCAGCACAGCGAGAGCCACCGCTGAGCTACCATGGATGAATATTTTCTTGGCTATGCCAAAACCGCTTGATCCATCATGGCCACGACGGACATGCATATCCAACCAGAAAGCCGCTTGAGAAAAACAATTCTTTCACTCGCACGCTGGGCGCCAACATTCGGCCATGCAATGTGAAAGAAAACGCGGGTAACGCGTGTCACCACGAAAACCGCGTGAGAAAAACATAACGGTTCCTCTCGTATTCTAGACGCCAACATGGGGCGATACAATGTGAAACAACACGCGGGCGACGCGTGTCACCCCGAAAACCGCGTGATACAAAACAAGCGTTTCACCCGTACTCTGGTCGCCAACGTGGGGCCATACAATGTGATACAACATGCGGGTGACACGTGTCAACACGAAAACCGCGTGAGACAAGAATCAACTGTTTCAATCGGAGTCTGGATGACAACACGGGTTACACGGGTCACCCCGAAAACCGCGTGAGAATAACCAATTGGTTCATTCCTATTCTGGGCGGCAGAAGAATGGGGCCACACAGTGCGAAATACCACACGGCTCACACGGGTCACCCCGAACATCGCGCGAAGAAAACACATTGTTTCACTCGCCTTCTGGTCGCCAACATGGGGCCATACAGTGTGAAACAAACACGCGGGTGACACGTATCACGTCGAATACCGTGTGAGAACAACAACTGTTCCACTCGTATTCTGGACGCCAAAACGGGGCCATACAATGCGGAATAACAAACGGGTGACACGCGTCACCTCTCCTGAAAACAGCGAGAGAAAAACAAGGTGTTTCACTCATACGACGACACATGTTACCCCGAAAACCGAGTGAGCCAAATCAACTGTTTCACTCGTATTCTGGACGCCAGGATGGGGCCGAACGTGTGAAACAACACGCGGGTGACACGCGTCACCCCGAAAACCGCGTGCGTAAAACCAATTGTGTTACTCGTATTCTGGGCCCCAACATTGAGGCCATACGATGTGAAGAAACACGCGGGTGACATGTGTCACCCCGAAAACCGCGAGAACAAATTGTTTCAGTCGCATTCTGGACGCCAGGATGGTGTCATACAGTGCGACACAACACACGGTTGACACGTGCCACCCCGAAAACCGCTCGAGATAAACTAATTGTTTCACTCGTATCCTGGACGCCAACATGGGAGAGAGCGTGATCCACCGCCGCTTTACTGTGGAAAATTGCGCCCTTTTCCTTGGTCGTTTTCTCGACGCCAACATGGGGCCATACAGCGTGGAACAACACGCGGGTGACACGTGTCACCCCGAAAACCGTCGGAGAAAAGAACCACTTGTTTCACTCGCATTCTGGACGCCAACATGGGGCCCTACAGTGCGAAACAACACACGGGTGACACGTGTCAGTCCGAAAACCGCGTGAGAAAAACCAATTGTTTCAGTCGCTTTTTGGACGCCAACATGGGGTCACACAGTGTGAAGTATCACACGGGTGACGCGCGTCACCCTGAAAACAGCGCGAGAATCACCCGTTGTTTCATTCGTATTCTGGGCGACAATATGGGGCCATACAATGTGGAACAGCACGCGGCCCCGAAAACCGCGTGAGACAACCAATTGTTTTACTCACATTCTGGGCCCCAACATGGGTCCACACAGCGTGGAACAACACACGGGTGACAAGTGTCACCCCGAAAATCGCGCGAGAAAAACAAATTGTTTCACTCGTATTCTGAACGCCAATATGGGGCCATACAATTCGAAACAACACACGGGTGACACGCGTCACCCCGGCAACCGCGCGGGGAAAAACAACACGCTGGTTCACTCGTAGTCTGATCGCCAACATGGGGCCGGACAGTGTGAAACAACGCACGGGTAACGCGTGCCACCCCGAAATCCGCGTGAACAAAAAGTTTGTTTCACTCGCACTCTGGGCGCCAACATGAGGCCATACAGCGTGGAACAACGCACGGGTGACACGTGCCACCCCGAAAACCGCGCGAGAAAAACAATTGTTTCATTCGTATGTTTGGCGCCAGCATGGGACTATATACTGTGCAACAACACGCGGGTGACACAAAACGATCGGGAAAACACTACAGCTTCACTCGCAATCTGGACGCCAACATGGGGCCACACAGTGTGAAACAACACACGGGTAACACGTGTCATCCCGAAATCCGCGTGAGAAAAAAAAACACTGTTTCACCCGTATTCTGGACGCCAACATGGGGCCACACAGCGCGAAACAACGCGCGGGTGACGCGCGTCACGCCGAAAAGTGTTTGAGAAAATCAGACTGGCGAGGAACCCAACCATATGCAGCTGCGAGTGCCGCATTGTGGGTGCCGATGTCGGTGGAGCTCCCTATGGGGCCACGAAACGTGCGAGGGGTGCGCCGAAATCGATGGCGCGGACGCATGCGGACACCGCCACTGGGGGCTTCGGTGGAGCTCCCTACGGGGCCACGAAGCGTTGCCCTGGGTGGGGGAGACGCATACGAACTGCGCTATTGGGACCTTCGTTGGAGCCCCTGCTGGGGCTACGGAGCGCTGTCATTGGTGGGGGAGACGCATGCGAACTGCGCCACTGCCGCCTTCGGTGGAGTTCCCTATGGGGCCACGAAGCGCTGTCCTGGGCGGGGGAGACGCATGCGAACGGTGCCACTGGGACCTTCGGTGGAGCTCCCTATGAGGCCACGAAACACTGTCCTGGGCCAGGGAGACGCATGCGAATGGTGCCACTGGGGCTTTCTGTGGAGCTCCTCATGGGGCCACGAAGCGCTGTGAACGGTGCCGCTGGGGCCTTATTGTGGAACTCCCAATCAATGGAACCGCGACGTGCAGTACTGGGTGGTGGACGACGCTTGCGGGCGGTGCCACTGGGGTCTTTCTGTGGGGCTCCCTGTGGGGCCACGAAGCGCTGTCCTGGTTGGGGGGGACGCTGCGAACGGTGCCACTGGGGCCTTCGGTGGAGCTCCCTACGGGGCCACGAAGCGTTGTCATGGGTGGCGGTGACGCATGCGGACCCTGCAACTGGGGCCTTCGGTGGAACTCCCAGTGGGGCCACGAACCGTGTGAGGGGTGTGCCTACATGGGTGGCGTTGACGCATAAGGACCCTGCCCAGTGGAGCCTTCGGTGGAGCTCTCCATGGGCCGACGAAGCGCTGTCCTGGGTGGCGCTGACGCAAACGGCCTGTGCACTTGGAGCCTTCGGTGGAGCTCCATGTGGGGCCCCGAAGCGCTGTCCTGGGTGGCGTTGACGCCCTTCGGTGGAGCTCCCTATGGGGCCACGAAGCGCGGTCCTGGGTGGCGTTGACGCACGCAGCCTGTGCCACTGGAGCCTTCGGTGGGGCTCCCTATGGGGCCACAAAGCGCCGTCCTGGCTGGAGCCTTCGGTGGAGCTCCCTATGGGGCCACGAAGCGCTGTCCTGGGTGGCGTTGGCGCATGCGGCCTGTGCCACTGGAGCCTTCGGTGGAGCTCCCTATGGGGCCACGAAACGCTGTCCTGGGTGTTGTTGACGCATGCGGCCTGTGCCACTGGAGCCTTCGGTGGAGCTCCCTGTGGGGCCACGAAGCGCTGTCCTGGGTGGCGTTGGCGCATGCGGCCTGTGCCACTGGAGCCTTCGGTGGAGCTCCCTATGGGGTCACGGAGCGCTGTCCTGGGTGGCGTTGACGCATGCGGCCTGTGCCACTGGAGCCTTCGGTGGAGTTCCCTATGGGACCACGAAGCGCTGTCCTGGGTGTTGTTGACGCATGCGGCCTGTGCCACTGGAGCCTTCGGTGGAGCTCCCTGTGGGGCCACGAAACGCTGTCCTGGGTGGCGTTGACGCATGCGGCCTGTGCCACTGGAGCCTTCAGTGGAGCTCCTTATGGGGCCACGAAACGCTGTCCTGGGTGGCGTTGACGCATGCGGTCTGTGCCACTGGAGCCTTCGGTGGAGCCCCCTATGGGGCCACGAAGCGCTGTCCTGGGTGGCGTTGGCGCATGCGGCCTGTGCCACTGGAGCCTTCGGTGGAGCTCCCTATGGGGCCACGAAGCGCTGTCCTGGGTTGCCGGTCTGTGCCACTGGAGCCTTCGGTGGGGCTCCCTATGGGGTCACGGAGCGCTGTCCTGGGTGGCGTTGACGCATGCGGCCTGTGCCACTGGAGCCTTCGGTGGAGCTCCTTATGGGGCCACGAAGCGCGGTCCTTGGTGGCGTTGACGCACGCAGCCTGTGCCTCTGGAGCCTTCGGTGGGGCTCCCTATGGGGCCACGAAGCGCCGTCCTGGCTGGAGCCTTCGGTGGAGCTCCCTATGGGGCCACGAAACGCTGTCCTGGGTGGCGTTGGCGCATGCTGCCTGTGCCACTGGAACCTTCGGTGGAGCTCCCTACAGGGCCACGAACCGTGTGAGGGGTGTGCCGGAATGTGTGGGATGATGCTGATGATGACGATGACGATGACGAGGCGGATGGGAAGAGGGAGGAGGGGGAGGAGGAGGAGAGAAAAGGAGGAGGAGGAGGAGGATGAGGAGGAGGAGGAGGAGGAGAAGGAGACGCGGGGCGCTGTCTCTTCAAAACGAGGACCCAACACCACAGGATGGTTGGGAAAATTCGCTTGACGAAGGACCCAACCATATGCAGCTGCGAGTACCACATTGTGGGTACTGCTTTCGGTGGAGCTCCCTGTGGGGTCACGAGCCGTGTGAGGGGTGCCAAAATGGTCGCGGTCCCCGCATGTGGCCTGTGCCACTGGGGCCTTCGGTGGAGCTTCCTGTGGGGCCACGAACCGTGTGAGGGGTGTGCCAAAATGGGTGGCGGTCCCTGCGTGCGGCCTGTGCCAAAAGGCCTTCGGTGCAACTCCCTGGGGGGGCACGAACCGTGTGAAGGGTGTGCCAAATGGGTGGCGGTCCCCGCATGCGGTCTGTGCCGCTGGGGCCTTCGGTGGAGCTCCCTGTGGGGCCACGAACCTTGTGAAAAGTGTGCCAAAATGGGTGCGGTCATCGCATGCGCTTGTGCCGCTGCGGCCTTCGGTGGAGCTCCCTGTGGGGCCACGAACCTTGTGAAAAGTGTGCCAAAATGGGTGCGGTCCCCGCATGCGGACTGTGCCGCTGGGGTCTTCGGTGAGGAGTGTGCCAAAATGGTCGCGGTCCCCGCGTGCGGCCTGTGCCACTGGGGCCTTCGGTGCAGCTCCCTGTGGGGCCACGAACCGTGTGAGGGGTGTGCCAAAATGGGTGCGATCCCCGCGTGCGGCCTATGCCACTGGGGCCTTCGGTGGAGCTCCCTATGGGGCCACGAACCGTTTGAGGGATGCGCCCAAATGGGTGGGATGATGCTGATGGTGACGATGAGGAGGAGGAGGAGGAGGAGGAGGAGGAGGAGGAGGAGGAGGAGGTGAAGCGTGGCCTGGAGGCGCAACAAGTTCACCGCCAGTGCGCCTCAGAGCTTACCGCTGAACCCAAAATCGTACATGGGGCCCCAGCAGTTGAAGGCGAATCGCTACCCTGACAGCTTCAGCGAGCCGTGGCACGTCCTGAGCAGCCAGCCTGGTGCAGCGACGGGCGGAAAATACCCGAAAGGCATAACAATAACATACAATGAACGCAACATTGAAATCATCCCGATCAATATCACGAAACAATCCAAGCTTGACCCTGGGATCCCGGGGGACCTCGCGAGAGAGAACAACCGAGACAAGGGTCGAAAGCTTCGGGCACTCCAGGACATAGTGCGAAATTGAATCACTAGTCGAACCGCAGCCGAAACTGCAGCCCGAGTGTGGCCGCCTCATCCGGTGGGCAGTGGTCCACGCGCCGAGCCAAGATTTCAAAGTGGCGGAACGCCACGCGAACGGAAGCTGTCGCACGGCCGTTCTCATCTCCCCCCAGTCCACCAGCCCCACTCCGCCCCTCGGGAGAAACCATTTGGTGATCCTGCGATCCAGCGTGGCCCCGATCACGCGGCGAAAAAGAGCCTGTTGAAATATCGCCTGAAACTGTGATTGCCAACGGGACCTGCTTGCCGTATAGTGTCCGATGCCGCTGTTGGTCGAGCCAGCCTGGAACAGAGAGAGGCACTGACGACCTGGTTCTGACAGGCTGGCCGACGATGGAAAACCCTGGGCGGCAGATTCGAGGAGGAGGGCGATAGAGGGCGAGGTCCAGAAAGGAGGAGCGAGGGAGGGAGTGGAAAGCCATGCGGGGGCTCCAAATTGCCAAACGACGCGGCGCAATCGTCGGAGCTCTGCGGGCCACGACTGGAGCGACACAAGGGCGGCGCGCATCCTGGTAACGGCGCCATATGCCCACATAGATTGGAAAGCAGGGCCTCCGAACTCTCCAAGTCCAAACCACCACTCCCAAGACAAAATCGAACTTGGGAACCTCCAGAGGGAGGCGAACAAGTGACGCTCTTGGATGGCCATGCTTCTGTCTATCGGGAAAAGCTGGGCCTTGTACGACAGCACCGGGAGGCACCTGGTGTGGTAGTAGAACAGGTTCGTAGCGCCATCTGCGGTGGAGCGGCTGGCGGAGAGGACGCGTGCGCGTAGTTTACACCAGGGAGCCTCCCATTGGAGCTCCACCGACGCAGATGGGCCGAGCTCCACTCCGAGATAAGTGAGACTCCCCTGGATCCGGAACCCCGCCCAACCCGAATCGACCCGGGAAAGGAACTCCCGAGCGGCCAAGACCAGAGAGTCGCAAAACTCACCTATCAGAGGGACGACCTGGTATTTACAATTTTCCAAAGTCAGGCGAGCGAACACGCTCGCGAGCTTGAATATACGAGCCATCTGTACAAAACCAACAAAATGGAAAAGTACGGCTCCGACATCATCGGCACACACCCTGCGAAATCCCAGGTGACGGCTCACAACCTTCAGCTCCATATCCCAGAGGAAAGGGTTTGAAGCGATCAGAAATAATGAGCCACTCAGGGGGCAGCCCTGTAGCACCCCTGCCGTCATGCAGAAGAGCGGAAGCAGCGGGCCGCCGTCGCAGAACCAACACAAGTTGAGGACGTAAAACTCTGCGATTGCTGCCTGGCACCCCCTAGGCAGCTTAACTGCCCGAGTCGCACGGAGGAGCCAATCCTGCCGAACGCTGGGGGGAAAGCCTGAGAGAAATCAAAAGACACCAACATTGGGAACCAATCTCGAGAGAGGGTTCCTGGCGGGGGGTCCTTTTTGAATGCTGCCGATCCGAGCGAGCGAATCTCACGCAACGAGATTGTCAACGAAGGACCGCCCCCGCACAAATCCATTCTGCATCGAGGGGGGCATCTTTGCCACCGTGCCGACAATGCAGCGGTTGATCGCCGATGCGACAGCCTTGTTCGATGTGTTTTTCAAGCCGAGCGGACGAGTATCCTGGGCAGCTCGCACGAGGGCCGATGCCCCCAACTCGTCAGGATTGCAACCTTTTCGGGAGGAATGCCGAAAGGGATGAATAAAAACTTAAATCCATGGGGGCTCCGCGAGAAATCCACCAAAAGATGTCGCTAACTATAGACGGGCCGGCTCCGATGCTCCAACATTTGTACGGTAGGCCGTCGGGGCCAGGGGCGGAGTCCAAGGCGCGCCTTACAATCTGTTTGATTGTGGATCGGGAGGGGGGAGGGAGGTCAGAAAAGTCATCAGAGCGAGCGACGCGCTTCAGGTACTGGTCGCCGCTGGCGGGGGTGGGTGAGGTGTCCTGGAAGATCGGAGCCCAATAGCTCGCTAAACCGCGAACCTTTAAAATTGGATCCGAAAGAGTCTCGCCCCCGCATTGCAGCCCGCCGAGAAATCGACGGGGGCCGCTGGGGTCCCACAGGCGGGCGCGGCGCTGCAAAACCCTAAGATTCCTGGAGTGAAACGCCACCTGGGGCCTGCCAGAAAACTGGGAATCTCGCAACCTGCGCGCGCGAGTCTCCTCCTCAAGGTGCGCCGCGGCCTGGGCGTCACGGAAGGCCCCTTGGAAGCGGACGGGGTCCACGTTGCGAACCGTGAAGGCGCCGCCGAGGTCGTCGACGTCCACGGCGACGTACTCCCGGGTCCATTCGTGCCGGGCCCGCGCGGCACGAGCCGCACCAGCATCCTGCCTCATGATGGCCAGTGCGATGGTGCGGAAGATCATGGCGAACTGTGGGGCGCCCAACCGTCGCGCTCGAAGCTGCAAGTCGCGAGTGGCACGCGCAGCGCCTCGGCGACATTTGATTGCTAAGCGCAGCCTGGACGGAGCAGATAACCAAGGGCGATCAATGCCAGCGAGCTGCTCGTACTCCACGACCATCTTCGAGAACATCGGGTCCTGCACGATGTGCCTGGGAAGCGGCCGGACGCGATCTTGGTCGCCAGGCGGCCTCGGCGCCCACTGTAAGATGAGCGGCGCGTGGTCGCTGATCTCGTCTCGGTGCAACTCCTGCGGCTCAGCCGCAACAGTCACGGACTGCCAGAACCTCATGACTAACCATGCTGGCGCCGAGGTAAACGCCCTGTCGATCTGAATGGCTTGCTGCGTAGGCTGGTGCCAGTGCGTCGGGCGTTCGGCGTCGAACTCGACCAGTTTCTTCCAAAGTTGTCTCCATCGGCGGTCGCCGGCACGATCCTGCCGAGGAGCCGCATCAGCCCCAGAGCCGTCAGGAGTGCCACTTGGAGCCCGCTCGCCGGTCGAGTCGGCGATGTTGAAGTCCCCAACCAAGAAAACCACCGAATTGGCTGGATTGGCTTGCGATGCGCGCACCTGGGCCCGGAATTTGCGGGCGAACGGCCCGAACTCGTTATTGGAGATGTCGTGGTTGTGGACGTTCCAATGGTAAAGTACGAAATTTGAAGGAATGTGGACGATCTCCGTGAGCAGGATGCGGCCAGGAACCACGACGTCGGGGGTGATGGTGAGGTCAGGGCCCGTCGGCACGATAGTGGCCGCGCCGCCCAGCCGATCGCGCTCAGGAGGGGCCGAACATATATGGTGCGAGTGCCGGAACCGACGGAGAAGCGAATCAAGAGCCTCCCCGTCGGCGTGAACCTCCTGAATCGCCACAATACACGCAGGGCGGAGCAGCTGCTCCAGGATGGTGACCTTCTTGTTCATGACCGTGGACTTGTAATGTGTGATCGCACGCGTATTCCATGACGCTAGGGCGAAACGCCCGTCGCAGGCAAAAAGCGTGCTACCCACTCCACCTGATCTCCCGACCCCCCAGGGAGCGCTCCACGATAGCATCAACAGCACCCCTCGTCGTGCCGAGGGACGCGAGGCAGTCGAGGTTCCATCGAACTTTCGGGGGCTCGGAGGGGTGCACCTCGATCTTGCACACCTTCTCCCACTGGATGGATAGCACGCCCTCTTCTCTGTCCGCGTACACGGGCTTCTGGAAGAAGGCGCCGAGGGCGGCCCTGCACTTCTCGACGGCGATCTCTCTCGAAGACGTAGCTGGGAGTGAGCTTGTGCGACGCGCTTTTCGGCCACAGCATCGTGCCCCAGAAAACGTAACGTGAACAACTTGCCCAAAGCCTCTCCCTCCAGGCGGCATTCCTCGCCCATCTGGTAATTGGCAGCGTCAAGCCATGGAGCAAGAGCTTGCTGCACAAGATCCTTGGCCATGTCCTCCTTGCCGCGTATGATGAACACCGAACGGTCCACCTTGCGAGCCCACTCGCTCGTCCGAGCCACCTCGGGCGTGGCTCGCGCCGAGCAAGGTCGAGCTCCCGCTCCAGAGCCTGCAGGCGCAGTTCCATGGCTTCGCCTCGCTTGCGCACGGAGTCCATCTCATCGCTGATCTCGCAAATCCTCTGGTCCTGCTCGGCGAAGCGCCGCTGAATGGACTTTTCTCGAACTTGGTGAAGAGGGGTTGGACGGCCGAGGTGACCGTGGCAGGCAATCGCTCCGAAATGTAGTTGATAAGGTCCTTCTTGGTGGCCTCCGCCAGTTCCCCGGGCCTCCTCGAAGATAGACTTGAGGTCAGCGGCGGAAGCTGCCGCTTGCCAAGGGTCACGGGGTGCACCACGTTGGCCAGCTGGAGGCACAGGATGGACACCAGCTGGAGGAGGAACGCCTGACGCAGCATGGCCAGCCCCGGGTGGACGACGTTCCTCGGGGTGGGGGGTGTCGAGCTGGTCCATGGCAGCGACAGTGGCGGCAGCGGCGGCGGTACGCTCGCCGTTCGCGTCGTCCTCCATGCTGTCGTCGGCGGCATCCGAGGCGCGGACGGCCTCGGCAGCGTCAACAGGTCCAGCGGCGTGCTCACCACGATATCCACTGGCGACACCGCGTTCTTGACGATCACGGCCTCGGCGGCGTGCTGGCGCACGCGGTGGAGTCCGAGAGTCAGAACGATCGTCCCCAGACGAAGGAGAAGCCGACCGCTCTCGAGGTTTCGATTGCTTGCCATCTTTGTCCTTGCGCTTGCCCTTCGTAGGTGTCTTGCCATCGGCGCCAACAACCATCGAGAGGAAGCTTGGAGCAATGGAAATGGAAGTTGTTAGTTGAATCGGGAATTTAAGGGGGTACAGCTCCTGAGCTCCTGACCTCCTTGAGCCAACATGGCTTGAGCCAAAATGGTTTGAGCCAAAATGGCTTGAGCCAAAATGGCTACGGAGGAGGAGGAGGAAGAGGAGGAGGAGGAGGAGCAGCAGGAGGAAGGGGAGGAGGAGTGAAGAGGTGACGCGGGGCGCTGTCTCTTCAGAACGAGGACCCAACACCACAGGATGGTTGCGAAAAATCACAGACTGCCCTGAACGCCAGACCTCGACCCGCCCGGAGCCTCGGAGGCTCTCGGAGGCTCTCGGGGGCCCTCGGAGGCTCTCGGAGCCTCGTCGTCGTCGTCGTCGTCGTCGTCGTCGTCGTCGTCGTCGTCGTGGTCGTCGTCGTCGTCGTCGTCGTCATCCACAGAGGGGCTCAAAGCCTACATCATCATCCTTATCCAGCCCCCTCATTCCTCTTACTCCTCGTCCTCGTCCTCGTCCTCGTCCTCGTCCTCGTCCTCGTCCTCCTAGTCGTCGTCGTCGTCGTCGTCCTCCTCCTCCTCCTCCTCCTCCTCCTCCTCCTCCTCCTCCTCGTATTCCAAGCAGAAGCAAAAGCCATTGACAACGACGCTACGAACATATGCGATACTGAAAACTTTCCAGACTCTGAACGCTCATGACACTGAGCGCGGTGAAGCTCCCTATGGGGCCACGAACCGTGGGAGGGGAGTGCCGAAATGGGGCGGCGGTGCCATGCGGACCCTCCCGCTGGGACCTTCGGTGGAGCTCCCTATGGGACCACGAAACGTGCGAAGGTGTGCCGACATGGGGCGGCGGTGCCATGCAAACCCGCCCGCTGGGGCCTTCGGTGGAGCTCCCTATAGGGCCACGAACCGTGCGAAGGGTGTACCGAAATGGGGCGGCGGTGTCATGCGAACCCTCCCGCTGGGGCCTTCGGTGGAGCTCCCTAAGGAGCCACAAACCGTGCGAGGGGTGTGCCGAAACGGGGCGGCGGTGCCATGCGGACCCTCCCGCTTGGGCCTTCGGTGGAGCTCCAAATGGGGCCACGAACCGTGTGAGGGGTGTGCCGAAGTGAAGCGGCGGTGCCATGCGAACCCTCCCGCTTGGGCCTTCGGTGGAACTGGGGCCACGAACCGTGCGAAGGTGTGCCGAAATGGGGCGGCGGTGCCATGCGGACCCTCCCGCTGGGGCCTTCGGTGGAGCTCCCTATGGGCCACGAGCCGTTCGAGGGTGTACCGAAATGGTGCGGCGGTGTCATGCGAACCCTCCCGCTGGGGCCTTCGGTGGAGCTCCCCATGGGGCCACGAAGCGTGCGAAGTTGTGCCGAAATTGGACGGCGGTGCCATGCGAACCCTCCCGCTTGGGCCTTCGGTGGAGCTCCCTGCGGGGCCACGAACCGTGCGAAGGCTGTGCAGAAATGGGGCGGCGGTGCCATGCGAACCCTCCCGTTGAGGCCGTCGGTGGAGCTCCCTATGGGGCCACGAAACGCGTGATTGGTGTGCCGAATTCGGTGGTGATGATGGTGATGATGATGATGGTGATGGTGATGGTGGTGGTGGTGATGATGATGATGATGCTGATGATGATGATTTTTCCTCGACGTCAGGACCAACATCTGATATCAGGATACGGTGTACAATGAAACCAGATTTAAAGTGATCCGTCGCAGAGAGCCGACTGTCTCGTGTTGCCCCGCTCGGGCCAGACTGCCAGGGTGCTGCTCGGAGGGGCCTCCCGCGCAGCGCGTGCCAAGCAGCGTCGAAATGCTAGCTGAGATATTCGGCCGCTTCTTCTTCGGCGGTTGTATCATGCTCAGGCGGGGCCTCCACCTCACACTGCTCCTCTGGATGTGCCGGCACGGCAGGGTGGGAGTGGAGGCACGACGGAGGAGGGAGGGCATGTGGCCGGCCGTGACCGTGCCGCTGCTGGCAGGGAGGTCTTTGCCTCGAACGAAATTGACGCGGCGTTGAAACGCCTCCTCTCCGCTGCGGCCTGCATTGTGGCCTGCAGGCTCGCTCTGGCAGAAAAAGGCGGGTTCACTGCTCGAGCGTCTCTAGCCTCCTCCTCGAGCCAGCCCACTGGGCCCACGTCTCGGCGGTGGACCGCCTGGCCCTCGGCCTCGAGGGCGCGGCTGATCAGGATTTGGCCCTCCCACATGGGCGCGCCTAGCGCGCCGATCACCAGCTTCGTCTTGTCGTGGTCGTAGCACTTTTCCAGGCGCGCGAAGTTGATGACGTCGAGGATATCTTCCTTGCTGATCTCCGTCTCCGCCTCGATGTCCTCGATGGCACCCTTCATGGAGCCGCCCGCGTCGCACTTGCACAGTCCTTCTGGGGCCGTCAGCGCGCGGGACGGAGCTGGCGACCCTATCCCCTGCAGGCATTTCTTGTCCTCTGGGGGGCCGCTCTTCCTGAGGGAGTCCATAATGGTGATGATGATGATGACGATGCTGATGATGGTGATAATGCCGATGATGATGCTGATGATGGTGATAATGATGATGATGCTGGTGATGGTGGTGATGATGATGCTGATGATGGTGATGGCGATGATGATGCTGATAATCATGATGATGAGACCGATGATGGCGATGGTGCCCGCGATGATGGTGATGGTGGTGATGATGCTGATGATGCTGATGATGATGATGATGATGATGATGAGCATCTGCCTTCGGGGCGCGTGAGACAACTGCCTGCTTTGGGAGAGCCGCCGAGACCCGAGGGAGCACGAGCACGGCAGACAGACCTCTTTACATCTCGGGCAGCGCAGACAGTTGTACCGATCTCAAGCGCTGTGCACCAGCACCTTTTCAGGGTGCTGCTCGACAACATCGCAGAATTCTGAAGCGCAGCTCCGCTCCGCAAGGTAAAGAAGTAAAAGTGTGACAAGGGAGGTGGGCGGGAGCAACGCACACTGCGGAGAGCAACATCGGTTGACGCAAGACGCGCGCGCACTAGTAGCATCTGCCTTCGGGGCGCGTGAGACACCTGCCTGCTTGGGGGTAGCCGCCGAGACCCGAGGGAGCACGAGCACGGCAGCCAGACCTTTTTACATCTCGGGCAGCGCAGACAGTTGTACCGATCTCAAGCGCTGTGCACCAGCACCTTTTCAGGGTGCTGCTCGACAGCATCGCAGAATTCTGAAGCGCAGCTCCGCTCCACACGTGCAAACCGTTCTATCATGGAGGAGAAGGGGTGGTGGTGGGACTTCTCCCTGGATACACACTCACTACAAAACTGCAGAGAAAGAGGTGGCCTTCAGGCTCTTAAAACCGTTAGCGAAAGCATTGGCTAGGGCCCGGGAAAAGCACTTTGGATATTCCTCGGCCACGCGGGTTTAAAAGATTCCATTGCTGTCCTTGCCCGTTAAGGAAACATGTGGTTTGTTAGTTCTGGAACACCTTCCCCTGCAGAGTTTACACCTGCGGCCCAAGGATTCAACGGGCAGATAACTACAGACTAACCTAGTTGGCTTCACCCAAGGGGCTCCCCATTGACAGAAATCAGTTCGGATTTCACGAGTAGTTCGACGTCGTCGTAAGTGCAGCATCTGAGGCGCCTCCCAGATAAAGGATAAGTAAGGGTTCTCGATACAGAACGGGACCATGTGAAGAGACGCCACTGACGCGATGCTCACAGTGTTTTTCATGGTAGTGTTTCCCATTTTAATCTTCCAGCGCTCTCCCTCATTTCGCAGAACAGGCAGCCCAAGAATGTGTTCACCGCTTCTGAGCGGCTGAGGGCCATTGTGCCTGGTACGAACACGAGACCATGAAATACACGGCGTGCCGAAGTGAATGCCTATGACGAAACCCGACATGATCCAGCCTCTGATAATCCTCACCAAGGATCTCTTACACATATCATGCCTCACGTCGAACCGAGTGTCGATAGCGATCGCCAGGAAGCCGAGCCAGGACATCTCCCTGGACACGCGAGCCGCGCCTGCAAAGATCTCTAAAAAGAAGGGCACGATCAACGTGCGCGCAGGCCCGCTGGAGCCTGCAGCGGCGCGGCCGCACTCTGCAGGATCCTCGGCACAGCCTCCAAACACCTGGCGGCGAATTATTTCTTCTGAGTGCTTGATCTCCGCGATCGTCCTGCGACCTGCCAGGAAGTCGGCACTTGGCCCTGAGTGACGGAGACGATGCATCATGAACTCGCCGATCGCCTCCTCGAGGCCGAACTCGCGGATGATCTGCGCCACGCTCTCGCCGAGGGCCACCGACCCGATCCCTGCCAGGCGCTCGTTTGCTGGGCGGATCCGTCGAAGCCGAAGGAGCGCCGTAGCAAGAGGTGGCCAGTCCACCCTACTGTCTCGTCGAACTCCCCCACCTTGGAGCTCACGCCGAGCTCGAAAGGATGTAGCACGATGGTGACTGTGGCCCCGGGCCCACTCGCACTGACTGGCGGGTGGATCATCCCCCACGTGGTGCGGGACAGCTCGCCGGGGCGAAGGTAGCAGTGATGCGCCGCCAAGACCGCTACACCTTGCTGCAACTTCCCCTGTGCGATCAGCTCGTTCGCCACCACAAAGAGGAGGCTCTCGGGCACTGGCAGCCTCGACTCGCCCAGAGCAAGTCGGCGCAACGCCGCGGAACATGTCCGCGCCCGAGGGAGGTTGCACGCCTGCTTGCCCACGGAAGCGAAGGCCCAGGACAGCGCCGCCAGCAACCGTCCGCCCTCGCCCCCCGTCGCGCCCTCGAAGAACTCCTCGTTGAGGTGCTCCGCCACCGCCGCGTCCAGGCTCACCGCGCTCATCTGGCCGAGGAAGCGGATAATGCGATCCTGCGCCCGGTCCAGCTCCACGCCCGTCACGTTCTGCGCGATCACCATCCCCGAGCGCCGCGCCAGCCCCGCCAGCCGACGGAGGTACGATCGCCTCGTCGGCGCTCGCACCACCACCGTCTCCAGCACCGTCCGACCCGGCAAGGCCCGCACCGCGCCGTGAGCATCCTGCCGTCGCCGAACTCGCCGACGCACATGCTCTGGCGCTGTGGCAGGGACCAGGCGCCGTCGCGGCAGGCGAGGATCCTCGGCTGGCGCCGTCGCCGGCGCGGCCAAGGCTAACCCCCCCGCTGGGGGGGGGGGGGGGGCGAACCGCGCCCGGCGGCAGCTCCGGCAGGGCCGGCGCCTGACGGGTCAGACCGCGCCCGGCGTCGCCACTCCGAGAGAGCACTCTCTCCTCGCGCGCTGCCCCAGCCACGGCGGAACTTGCCTTCAGCGGTCGCCGCGCCAGCATGCCGCAACCCGCGGCGGCAGGGCCCGTCAGCCACGTTCCTCTCGCTGGGCACCCATCGCAGACAGAGCTGGATGTCCCACAGCAGAAGGAGGAAGGCCAGCTGGCGGGCGACGCGGCACTGCCCAGGCGCGCTCGATCTCCCCTTTTGAGCCGAAAGCAACGCACCCATGGAGTCCGTGAGAATGAGGACCCGCTTCTGGACGTACTCGCGAGTTTTTGCAACCCTCCTGAGGACTCCCACCAGAGCTCGACCTTCAAGACAGGTGATGTGTTCGCTACGCTCCCAAGCCTTACTACTGACCGCATGCCACTTAGCATGAAGCAAGCTAGTGTGAAGCCCAGGAACAGGAGGCACTCCTCGCAAGGAACCTTCAGGTGCCCCAGCGCCATCATCATCCCCTTCTTCCAGCACAGCCCGAGGATTAGCACGACCTCCGCCCAAGAAATGCCACCGATCTGAATACCTGCTGGCCTCGTCCAACACCTCAGTAAGCGGCCGCGCCGCACATATCCCAAGACCCCACGGTGACGCATCACTCGTATAGGCCCTCGGCCCCCACGGCTTGGTAAGGTCGCATTCAAGCAGCGGAAGCAACGCCTGAGCCCAACGGAGCTCTCTCAGCACCGCGGGCCACAACTTGGAGGGGCTATCGGGGTTCTTCTCTATGAATACATACACGGCACGAAAACATGACAGCAACTCCCGGCGGAGCCTAGCCTGATGGGTGATGTGTCCCAGGATCTTCCGGAGCGTCCTACCAGAGCAACGACGGCGCCTCAAGAGGAACTCCAAAACCATCCACACCTCCCATCTCCGTTCATGCCGTGGCAAGATCCGACCGTCTCCCGAGACACTGAGCCCCAGCAGATCTCCCCCAACTCCGACGACATCGACCTCGTGAGCCTCTAAACCGGCACCTCGAACAGCCTCCAGGGATCGCTGAGTGAGATCACGACAAACCTCAGGGGAGCTCGAGAAGACGCCCACGTTGTCCACATATACAGACACACACCCATTTTTCAGATCACCAACTGGCCGATGATCCTGTAGAAGATGAGAGCCTGGAAACGCTTGGCTCAAAATCCTCCCGTGTATTGTCTGGCACCAGTACAGCGCGTGGACCCAGCCCATTGGCATGACAGTAAGCCGAGGTCGCACAATCCCTCCAGTGCTCAGAATGTCGGGGAGCAGCTGCTTCATCCACTTTGCCTTGATGGGGGGCAAATGGAAAAATCTCCGCAACTCGGGGGGTGTTCCAAACTGAAAGAAAGCATCATTTAAATCGTATTGACCTACATACAGCTGCTCTCCGGCCTCGAGCCGTAACCTGGACAGGGCGCCCGACGTGGGCAGCTCGACGTGATCGCTACTTGTGAAAAAGCAATTGGACTGCCGACAGTCGGCAATCAGGCGCTGGGCACCGCTTTTCTTGCGCACAGTAAAAAGTCCTACGCAAGTGTCACCTTCCTCGCACACAAACTCAACCATGTCCCTGTCATGCAGCATCTGAAGCACGCGTGCATATCTGCGCATTGACTTGCGCAGACCAGGGTCATGATAAATCTTCATCTTGCTCACTTCAAAACTGCGCATGCCCACCGAGTTTGGTAGCGCATGCTCGCTCATCCACTCCTGGACTTCCTCGCGACCTTTGGGGCCCAAGAGATGACATATATCAGTTGGGGCCGTCCCTGCTGGCCTAAGCGACAGCAGAGACTCGTCCAGGGGAACTGCTGGCGAACTCTCGCCAGAGTTCTCACACACCCCGCTGATGCTCGAAAAAGCCTCGGCCGGCTGAACATCAGCGGGGGGGGGGGCCCATCCTACTGCAACGTTCCCGGAGGTGCCCCATGCTGCCCTCGCCCAGAGACGAAGCAGCACCAGCCGGACAGCACGGAGCACCACCCAGGTACATTTCCGTAAGGACGGAGGCGGCGCTGTGACTAAGCCTATTCAACCACTGCTCAGAAGAGGCCCTGGAGGCCGCCTAGTCGCACAGATCGAGGGGTCTGACCTCGATGCTTTTACCCGATGCTTTAACAGTGGCCGAGGCTCAGTCGACGAAAGTAGCCGACTCGACTTTGCACTCGAATTGGTCGCTCCTGTGAGCGATGAATGGCCTGCCCGCGCCGCTGGCCGTCGGAGGAGGCCGTCTCCGATGGCCACGCGTGTGCTCATTGCCCGCCGCCCCCACGGCCACGACCACCTCCGCCTGGGGGCTGACGAAGGAGGGCTCTTTCTTCACGTGCTTTTCTGGCTTGCTTCTGGATCTGCGATTCCTTCTCTAACTCCTTACTCGCGTGCTCAATGAGCGTCGGGGCGCAGCACACCGTAGGATTGACACGCTCCCGTCCCTCGAACAGGTCCATCTCGTCATTCGCGGTGACGGCCGAGCCGGCGACGGCGGAAGACGCGCCGGCGGTGCCACCGCGCTCGCCCTCCCGAACCTTCTCCGCGTACTGGTACTCTATTGTCTGGAGTCGGCGTGCGATCTTCTCCATCACCACCAAATTCGACAGGTCGAGCTGGTCCACGCTCCCCGCCGCCTCCAGGTACGAGCACAGCTGGCCGTGCTCGGCCACGCCCCAGTCTGAGGCGTTAAGTCGAGCGGTCGACCTCCACCAGCGGTGGTGATCCTCTGGCCCTGTGTTGCGTCGGGACATGAAGCGGGCCACCCGCTGCGCTGTCCTTGGCCCCTTCACGGGCCAGTGGTCGATCGCACTCTCGTTCACGCTCTCGGCCACGTCCGCCCAGCTGCGCAGCCGCTCACCAGAGGGGGAGTACCGCACCAGCAGCGCCCGCGCGTCGCTGGAGGCGGCGTGGGCCGTCTTCCACTGCTCAACCTGATTCCTCGCCACCTTCTCAACCATGAGAACATCCAGCCCAGCGCGAGCGAGGCCGCGCTTCTCCACAAACACCTCTGGCTGCCCTGGGCACTCGTCTCCGACCGAGAACATTGCGTTCGACTCCGCGAACAGCCGGACCTCAGGCTCGGCCCCTGGCGGAGCCACTCCGCGGCCGGCCAGTGCCACCAGATCCTGTGCCTCCTCCATCAGCCCACGCAGCGCAGCCTGATCAGGTTCGGCACCGGCTCTGAAATTGTAAATGCTGGCACCATGCAGGCTCGCCGGGATGCTGCCGTCCGCCTTGAAAGCCCGCGCGCCTGTGATGTCGCCGTTGTTCGGGCCGTAGTCCTCCTCATACAGGTCACTATCAGGTGTATATATGATCCACCGCTTGTCCTCAACACGCGCGAGCAGAATGCGAACGTGCCAGAAGTCATCGTCGTAACGCACCAGCACCTTACGCCCCGGGGCCAACGACGATGACACCGCCGCCGCCCCCACCGCTCCTGCCTGCCCTGCTGCCGCCACTAGCTGCGCCATCGGTCAGGCTGACTACTCGCTTGGAACTCCGAAACGAGCAGCCACGACCTAGGAGAGCTCCCACTACGAAGGCCACTGCGATGAAGCCGGCGTGCAGCACGAAATTGAACTCGTAGCGCGCTGTGCTGGTCGTTGGGCCTTGCAGCTGCTGGGAGACCAGGCGCTCGAGTGCGGCGCACTCTCCACTCGCCTCGCCTGAGGCGACGCACTGGCAGACACGCGGCGGACACGCCTCCTCAACCTGAGGCCGCGAAAAGAGATGGTACACTCCCGACAGAAAGTCACGTGTGAGTGTGTATAGCAGCAGAGGGCCCACCTGCATATGCATCCAGGGAGCCTTCCCTTTGAGCAACACACGCTGCGGAGAGCAACGTCGGCTCGCGCAAGACGTGCGCGCACTAGTATGATGATGACGATGACGATGACGATGGTGAGACGGAGAGGGGATGCGCAGCGGGAGGAGGAGGGAGACGCGGGGCGCTGTCTCTTCAAAACGAGTACCCAACACCACAGGATGGCTTGGGGAAAACAAGTTTTGCTCGCACTCTGGATGCAAACATTCGGCCACAACGCGCGGGCGACACGTGTCACCCCGAACACGCCGCGAAGAAAACCAATTGATTCACTCGCATTCTGGACGCCAACATGGGGCCGTACAATATGAAACAACACACGGGTGACACGCGTCACCCCGAAAACCGCGTGAGAAAAAACACTTGTTTCACTCGCATTCGGGGCGCCAACATGGGGTCACGCAATGTGACCTAACACACGGGTGACACGTGTCACCCCGAAAACCAAGTGAACAAACACCAACTGTTTCACTCGCATTCTGGGCGGCAACACGGGGCCATGCAGCGTGAAACAACGCGCGGGCGACGCGCGTCACCCCGAAAGCCGCGTGAGAGAAACGCCCATTGTTCGATTCGTATTCTGCGCGCCAACATGGGGCCAAACAGTCTGAAACAGCGCGCGGGTGACACGTGTCACCCCGAAAACCGCGCGAGCAAAGCCACTTGTTTCAATCGTACTCTGGGCGCCAACCAACATGGGACCATACAGCGTGAAGCAGCACGCGGGTGACACGCGTCCGCCCGAAAACCGCGTGAGAGAAAAAAAAATTGTTTCACTGGGATTCTGGTCGCTAGCACGCGGCCGTGCAACGCGAAGCAACGCGCGGGCGACGCGCGTCGCCCCGAAAATCGCGCAAGAAAAACAACGCGCGCGCGCCCCGCAAGGAACAGGGCGGCCCGAGAGATGAGCTGGAGCTTATTGTGACCACCGCTGCACTTCGTCGGGCTGGCGAGCTCCGAACCGCGCGGCCGAAGGAACGGGGGGTGCTCAAGCGAGGAACTGGATCTGAATGCCCCTGCCTTGGCACGCGGATAAGGGCGAAAGCTCCAGCGCGCGCCCCGCAAGGAACGGGGGGGCCGAGAGATGAGCTGGACCTCATCGCGGCCACCGTTGCGCTATGTCGACCCAGTGAGCTCCGAACCGCGCGGCCTAAGGAACGGGAGGTGCTCCTGCGAGGAGCTGCTACCTTGGCAAACGGATAAAGGCGAAAGCTCCAGCGCGCGCCCCGCAAGGAACGGGGGGGCCCGAGAGAGGCGCCGGGTTCGTGCGTGACCGCCGTCGCACCACGTCGAGCAAGCGCAAGGAACCGAGCCCCTCTTGGAGCCCCGTTCCTTGGACCAGCCGCCCTCATCGACAAAACGAATCCGCGCGTCCAAAATCTGAAAGACACCCAGGGGGCTCGCCGCCAAGAAGGTAGCGGAACGCATGCAAACCATAGGAACGACCGAGCCCCTTTGGAAAAGTAAGTGTTCCTTATTCAAGCCGCTCGCTGTAGTACGCATGCGGGCGGTGCCACTGGGACCTTCGGTGGAGCTCCCTATAGGGCCGCGGAAGGGCGGGACGCATGCGGGCGGTGCGCCTGTGCCTTCGGTGGCCACTGGAGCTCCCTACGAGGCCAGGAAACGCTGTGCCGGGTGCGGGGGGGGGGCACATACGGGCGGTGCCACTGGGGTCTCTCTGTGGAGCTCCCAATCAATGGAGCCGCGAAGTGCAGTACTGGGTGGCGGACGACGCATGCTGGCGGTGCCACTGTGGTCTCTCTGTGGAAAACCGTATGGGGCCACGAAACGCTGTACTGGATATGGCGGACGCATGTGGCCACCCCCACTGCGGCCGCAGGTGGAGCTCCCTATGGGGGCACGAAGCGCTGTACTGGGTGTGGCGGACACACGCGGCCTGTGCCACTGGGGCCTTACGTGGAGATGGGGCCGCGAAGCGCTGTACTGGGCGTGGCGGACGCATGTGGCCACCACCACTGCGCTGTACTGGGTGTGGCGGACGCATGTGGCCACCCCCACTGGGGCCTTACGTGGGGCTCCCTATGGGGCCACGAAGCGCTGTGCTGGGTGTGGCGGACGCATGTGGCCACCCCCACTGGGGCCTTGCGTGGAGCTCCCTGTGGGGCCACGAAGCGCTGTACTGGGTGTGGCGGACGCATGTGGCCACCCCCAGCGGGGCCGGGGTGGAACTCCCTATGGGCCACGAAGCGCTGCACTGGGTGTGGCGGAGCATGTGGCCCCCCCAACTGGGGCCTTACGTCGAACTCCCTATGAGGCCACGAAATGCAGTACTGGGTGTGGCGGGCGCATGTGGCCACCCCGAGTGGGGCCGCATGTGGGGCTCCCTGTAGGGCCACGAAACGCTGTACCGGGTGTGGCGGACGCATGTGGCCACCCCCACTGGGGCCCCACGTGGAGCTCCCTACGGGGCCACGAAGCGCTGTACTGTGTGTGGCGGGCGCATGTGGCCACCCCAGCTGGGGCCTTCCGTGGAGCTCCCTATGGGGCCACGAAACGCTGTGCTGTGTGTGGCGGTCCGCCACACCCACTACAACGTTTCGTGGCCCCATAAGGAGCCCCACCTGCGGCCCCAGTGGGGGTGGCCACATGCGCCCGCCACACCCAGCACAGCGTTCCGTGGCCCCATAAGGAGCTCCACGCAAGGCCCCAGTGGGGGTGGCCACAACGCTTAGTGGCCCTATAGAGAACTCCACCTGCGGCCCCAGTGGGGGTGGCCACATGCGTCCGCCACACCCAGTACAGAGCTTCGTGGCCCCACAGGGAGCTCCACCCAAGGCCCCAGTGGGGGTGGCCACATGCGTCCGCCACACCCAGTACAGCGCTTCGTGGCCCCATAGGGAGCTCCACCCAAGGCCCCAGTGGGGCTGGCCACATGCGTCCGCCAAACCCATTGCAGCGCTTCGTGGCCCCATAAGGAGTTCCACCTGCGGCCCCAACGGGGGTGGCCACATGCGTCCGGACGCATGTGGCCACCCCCACTGGGGCCGCAGGTGTAGCTCCCTATGGGGCCACGAAGCGCTGTACTGGGTGTGGCGGACGCATGTGGCCACCCCCGATGGGGCCTTGGGTGGAGCTCTCTACGGGGCCACGAAAAGCTGCACTGGGCGGGTGAAACGCATGGAGGGAGGGAGCAAGGGGAGGAGGGAGGAGGTGGAGGAGAGGAGAAGAGAGGAGAGGAGGGGCGCGGGGACCGTCTCTTCAAAACGAGGACCCAACACCACTGGATGGTTGGGAATAAATAGAGACGCCGTTCAAAATCGAAGCGCCCGATATTTCGGGCATTTGTCAGACAACATACTCTTCAATGCTGTGACGGGCAGTGCCGGATTTCGAACGCCCATGCGCGCGGGCTAAACACTTCAGGTCAGCTTGAAGTAGCGCCGACCGCGGAAGCGCCCATAACAAGCATCGCCAACTTATGTTTGACGATTCTCGTAGGGGGCCCAGCTTGGACTTTCCTCTGGATTTCGCGACACGCGTCTCTGAGGGCGAGCAGAACGAGCTCCTCCATCAGCTCCTCACTGGCTTTCTCCAGCTCCTCCGAGGCCGCGCCCCCCTACACGTCGGTGGAAACCATGCCTGTCGATCCACGGCAAGGTCTGCGGGTCTATTCGGCGGGCGAGCTTGGGTGAAATGGCGAGAGTTGGCTTGGTAACTCTCTTGCGCCCGCTCTACGTGATCCGATTGATAACGGACGACCGCGACAAGTGCTGGGCGGTAGAGACGGCCGGGAAGTGTTTGGACTGCTGCCTTACTCGGTCGGCCGCGCGATGCATGCAATCACTGATCTTTCTTATTCGGGTGGGCGGGGAGTCTGGGGGGCTGGCATCTGCAAAGACGCGGTGAAGGGCAACAGGGAGCCAAGTTTGGAAATCCAGGGCGGGATGCTCGCCGAAGTGGTCGGGGATGGACACGCGGATGAGAAGAAAGCAGGACAATGATCACCCAGAGAACGGAGGTCACAAACGTCCCAGATCGTGCCAACATGTGGGCGATAGTCTGCCATGCAGGCTGTGCATAAATCATTGGAGATGCGGCCGATGCGCGACAGTGCATTGACCATGCGGATGCCGCGAGACTTGGATGTGACTCTGTGAGGCGAAGAAGGCCGATTGACCTCGAACACATCTGGAACCTGCACTTCAAAATGCATGGCGAGATCATCGTCGGCCATTTGATTAATATCGCCGTTCAGATGCTGCGCGCCCTCGCCTGGGGCTGAAAAGTTGAAATAAACGGACAAAGACTGGGCCTGAGCTGGAGAGGAATCGTCTGACGAATCTGAACAACCCGCAGCCTGATGTCACTTCGCGAGAGCTTCGTTTCAATATGGAGATCAATGAACTGCACGAACCTACCTTCCGCGCGAACGCGAGTAGTATGACGCCGTCCAGGCTGGATGAGGGAATGAACGGGCAACTTATGCATGATGGGCGGACGGAAGTACATCGCGACTCCAGTCCTGACGTGGGATTCGGGGTCGAAAGGTGCATATCGCCCATGGTGTGGGAGCTCCCCTTGAGCGGCGACTCGAAACCCTCGCGCCCGAGGGTCTCCTGAATACCTACCACCCCAGGAACGAAACACAAAGACAGAAAACTAGTTCTCATGGCATCTTGAATTTCGTGGTGACCGTGCACGGGATCCGAAGCGGCCCTGGGAACATCAAATGGCGACGCGGAACCCAGCGGAGCAAAAACGCCCAGAGGGGAAGCACTGACGGGGAACCCTTCAATTTTATTTGGACCTTTGGGGGGCGGGGGCCCCAGCCCCCCCCCGCCGCCCCATAGGAAATGCGACATTTCTATGAGACTGGCCGGAAGCAGAGGGAGAGTGAGAGAAACGCTGCTCGACGGCTGCTGCGGAGAAGACGGGGCCGACGACCCGATCCCCACGTCTGGGAGCTCATCAGAAACATGCAGAAGATTTGACGGTGGCAGGGGACTTCCTACATGAGACCACCGTTCGTGACTTCCGTGGCGACTCTGACGAGCTGGGTCGCAACAGCCTCGACTATCCCCAGTCGACAAGGTTCTAGAGGTCACGCTGGATACTGAACTGATTATCTGTCGCCTCGCGGGCTTGGAACAATGGTCGTCTTTCGGGCCGTCAGCGTCGGAGAACTCACCTCGGGCGCCGTTGATGCCAAGCTTGTGAGCGGCGGGGCTCCACCTCTCGATCGTCCGGAGCACGGCGAGAACGTGGTGCCACAAAGCTGAGAGGGTGCGCTGACGAAGCCGAACAGCAAGAGGCAGATCTGGGCGAGCCCGAAGCGGAACGTGGACCTTCATGCGTGGGGCGAACCACGTGGGGAGGTCGGCGAGGGCCCACTCACGGAAGTCCTTGCAGTGATCCTTGGACTGGCAGTGCATGCTGTATCTCGTGGACACCCTATGGAAATTGACCGTGATGTTCTGGTCGAACTGAAGAGCGGTCTGCTGCAGGGCGGCCAGGGCGCTCTCGAAGTGTTTGTGGCGATGGCTTTCGAAGACGGCTCTCGGGAATCGACCAATCCAAACACGAGTGGAATCTGGACCATCATCAGCATGCGAACGAAGAGGAGGCGGTGCCAGAGCAAGTTCTGCCCTGCGCCTCATCTTGGGCGGTAGCGATCCACTTGTCGAAACCAATGAGAAAGAAAGGTGATGGCGGGTGCGAGAAAGGAGAGTTGATCTGGGGCTGAACGTCGGCGACCCTTGAATCGACCATGGCGGTCATCTTGTCCTGCGCGTCGTCGTCGATGCTGATGGTGTCCCCGTCGCTGCACTGCGGAGAGCATCTTTACCCAAGCAACCGAGACGCCGTTGACCAGATTCTGCATGCCGGCGTAGACCTGGGTCTGCGCGGTCTGGAACCATGAGTTGGGTCTCCATGGTGGTGGCCTTGTCCGTGTACGTCTGGATGAAATTCTTCAGGCTGCTCATCTCGGCGGTCACCTCGCGAGACGGGTTCTGGATGGCCTCCGTTAGAGCTCTCAACGCATCGCTGGACGCCATGGCGGGAAAGACAGGAGTGATGCAAATGGCTCCGAGGGCAAAGTGCCTGAACGGAGCGTGCTTTGGCGCACGGCACGGCAGTGTGGATCAGGCCTGTCCTCGGACTGCGGGACGCTGAACCTCCCCCTCGGCTGCGTCGAAGTTCGAAGCGCCAAAGGATACGTTTCGAACTTGACCCACAATGACTACGGAAGAGGAGGAAAAGGGTGAGGTGTAGTGGAAAGGGGGAGGGCCAATGCGAGACGGAGAATGACGCGGATGCGGGGATCTGCGGAAGACGACGACGACGATAACTAAAGCTCGACGACGACGCTGCCGAAGGCGCAGGCCGATCAGGAGCAGGAGGACGCGCGTACACTCTTAGGAGCCACCTTGGCTGAAAACGCGCTGTTTGGGGATACTGGGGTCTGGTTATAGTTTTAATAATCCACTCTACATCCTCCTAGCCAGGAGAAACAGAGAGGGGTAGGATGACACAAATCAAGGAGGTGTCAGACAATATGACACAGTGTTGAAGGACCTGCCCTTCATCATACGTGTTGCAAGACTTGATGAAAGTATAGCCATCAAACTGATGGAATTTAAGAAAACACCGTTTCGAAAGGAACCACACTCCATCCGTGTAGGTGTTGTAATTGCACCATCTGGGCCTTCGCATCGTACGTAGAATCCCACCAGCCCTTTGGGCGTGAGTGGTTTAGAGAGCCCGCTCTGTTTTCAACCCCCCTTCTTCCCCTTCGGGGAAGGGTTTACCCCTCCCCCTACCCCCTCCCCCTGGGCGTGGAGAGGGGGTTTCGCGGGTCGTTGGAGGGGTCTTTTTCGACTCCTGGGGGGGCTAAAAAACGACACCCCTCACGAGGATTCTGGCCCCGACGGGGGGAGGCAGAAAAAAACCCTCTCCTCTTCTTTGAAGCCAAAATCATTGATTTTACTACGGTTGTGGCCCCATTTTGGCCTTCTGAGGGGGCAGCGCTCATTAAAGCTCCCCTCTTCTTTCAAGACAAATTCATTCATTTTACGAAGGTGTTGGGCAAATTTTGCCCTTCTGAGGGGGCAGCGCTCATTAAAGCTCCCCTCTTCTTTCATCGATTCCCTCCAAGATGGCCCCAAGAAGCGCCCAGGAGGCACCAAGAGGCTCCAAGATGGCCCCAAGAGGCCCCCAGGAGGCCCCCAAGAGGCCTCCAAGAGGCCCCCAAGATGCCCTCAAGAGGTCACGACTCACACCAGAAGGAGGGGCCCGAACGACTCACACCAGGACGAGGCGCCCGAACGACTCACACCACGAGGAGCCCGAACGACTCACACCACGACGAGGGCCCCGAACGACTCACACCACGAAGAGCCCGAACGAGTCACACCAGGAGGAGGGGCCCGAACGACTCACACCAGGACGAGGGGCCCGAACAACTCACACCACGAGAAGCCCGAACGACTCACACCAGGACGAAGAGCCCGAACGACTCACACCACGAAGAGCCCGAACGACTCACACCAGGAAGAAGGGCCCGAACGACTCACACCAGGACGAGAAGCCCAAACGACTCAAACCACGAGGAGCGCTTTCTCTCCCTCCTCCTCCGCCTCGTCCTTCTCCCGCTCCCACCACAAGGAGGATGTACAAGGAGGCGGGAGGAAGGAGGAACAGGGGAGATATGCGGGGGCAGGCGGAAACACGCCTGAAAAACACGACTGTCGGCATGCTTCGCAAGAGTTGCTGTTTTGAGATGGGCTGGTGGGGATACGCGAAGCGTGAAGAATTGGAAACATTCGTAAGCGATAGCCGCATTTAGAACACGAACAGGCCTCCGTCCTAGTAGTTGTTGGAAGATTTTGCTAAGGCGAAAGCCAGATGTTGAAAACGAGCAGCGCCACATTCTTGTAGTTATTGAGTGCTTGAACTTCAAGATAATGGATGGCAAACACATCTCAAGGGAAATGCCCAGCCAGGCCTACGGGCACATCTTGTGGTGCTAAGGGGGTGCAAGGAAGTAGTTGCACAGAAAAGGGATGGAATACGACGACAACCGACAGACCCGGGAACCTGTCCTGGAACGCATCCTGACAAGAACTTCGAGCCCGATCTGGCCTTGGCCAGGAGGATCCTCGAAAACCTCCGAGAGCCTCCGCAAACCACCATGAGGTTCCGAAAACCGCGGCCGACTAAGACAGCGTCAGAGGTCCGAGGCTGGGATCTGTACCAAACCACCGTCTGGGGAACCGACGCCCCAACACCCCAGCAACCAGTGGATATGGACATCCTCGGGCCCCTCGGGAGTCCGCAAGATGTCACTATAAGAGCCCTGGGACATCGGCTCACCAGGCGGCGGATGCGCATGCACTCCCGCCTTGCAAGGAAGTGCCCGCCTTCTCGCGCGGCTCTGCGCCGCCCTGGGGGCACGGCTCGCCGCAGCCTGCCGCCAGGGATGGGGGGGTGGAGGGGAGGGTGCAACGGCTCGGGCCCGCGGACGTCTCGGGCGCGCGCGCGGGCGCCCACGGCGGAGGAGCGGAGGAGCAACGATGAGGAGTGCGGAGGAGGCGGGCGGGGCGGCACCCCGCGAATCGAAAGCGGGTGAACCGAAAGCGGGTGAACCAGAGCGGGCGAAGCGAAACGCATGGGCTCGAACTCGGGCGACGCGGACGGAGAGCGGACCTCGCGGCCAGAGCGCCAGGGGCCGGAGCCGCGCCTGCGCCTGCGCCGCTCCAGCCGCGGTCCCCCTTGGCTGCCGGCGCCCCGCCGCGGCCGCCAGGCCAGGGCAGCCCGGCGCAGAGGCCCAGCAGCCAGCCGCAGAGGGCGAGCGCGGCCGCCGCGCCGCCCAGCGCGGAGGCCTCGAGGCACCGGGCGGTGGCCTCTCCGAGGGGCCCCAGGCCTCCGGCGACGCGCGTTCTTGCTCCATCGCGGCCTCTGGAGGCCGCTTCGGGCGCGGTGGGGATGCGCAGCATGGCCCGAGGCATGCGCGCGGACGAGGGGGGGGGGCAGAGAGCGGGCTGCAAGAAGAGGGGATTGAGGAGGCCATGGGATCTGGGCGATCTCATGGCCCCGGCCACGAGTTCCGCACCCCCCCCAGTCCCCACCACCCTCTTGGACCTCCCCGAAGCTTTCGGGCCCGGGGACCATCAAAAAGAAATCCTGGGGCGCAGAGCGACCCTGGGGGAGGGGTCGGGAGCTCTGGCGCCGCGGGCTGCGGAAATTACATCGGAGGATGTCTGGGGCTCGCCGCCTGCGCCAGCTGCTGGGCGCTCCGCGCGCTCGCGCCGCTCTGGTCCGCCTGCGCGCGCAGCGCGCCGAGCGTGGCGTCCTGTCGCCGGAGACGCTCGCGGAGCTCGGCCTCTGGCGCGCGCGCGTCGCCGTCGCCGCCGCCGCAGTCTGTGGTGTCGTAATTAGTCGGCTTCGAGGGTGTCGGCGTCGGCGTCGTCGGCGTCGGCGTCGTCGCCGTGGTCGATCGAGGCGGTGTCGGCGTCGGCGGCGTCGGCGGCCGTGTTGGCGGCGGCGTCGTCGGCGCTGGCGTCATCGATCGAGATTGGAGCTTCGAAGTTGGAGGATCGGGTGCGAAATTTTGCCCTCGACCATCGAAAATAGTGCTTTGGTTGGGTCCCCGTTTTGAAAAGATCATTGCTGCTCCCATCCTGTCCTCGCCCTTTTCCCTTTTTGTTTCGCTTTCTCTTCCTTGTTCCTCGTGTCCCCTGACTCGTTCTCCCTGAGCGGTGCCAACTGCGCAACTGTCGCCACTTTCGCGGGCTGCTGAGATGTCCAGCGGAGTGCGGTCATATTCATATCCTGACGATATGTTGCCTCCCTGGGTGGTGCCTCTTGCAAAATAGTGGCGCCATTTTCGTGAGCTTTGGGGGTCCGACGGAGCGTGGTCTTGTTCATATCCAGACTATTGCTCGCCTCCCTGGGTGGTGCCAACTGCAAAACTGCCGCCACTCTCGAGTTTGTGGGGGGGTCCAACGGAGTGTGGTCCCAAAGCGTTACTCGCCTCCCTGGGTGGCGCAGACTGCATAACTGCCATCATGTTCGCGAGCATGTGGGGTGTCCAACGGAATGCGGTCCTATCGACATCCAAACAGGCCCTCCCTGGGAGAGCTAGCGGAGCAATGCCCTACGCAGACCCAAACTGTTACTCACCTCCCTGGGCGCTGGCGATCCCGCGATTGACGGCACATTCGGGGACTCTTGGGAGGTCCAGCGTTACGCAGATTCAAACTACCTCTCCCGTTTTTGGGCGCTGCCAAATCCACAACTGCCGACACATTCTGGAGCCCCTGGGAGTTCCAGTGGAGTGACGTCTTCTGCGTCCCCTCACTGGGCGCTGCCTACTCCGCAACTGTCAGCACTTTCGACAGCATATGGGCGGTCCAGCGGAGAACGATCATACGTGGACCCAAACTCTTACTCAACTTCCTGGGCGTTGACACCTGCGGAAATGTCGGCACGTTCAGGATACCCTGAGAGGTCCAGCGGTGTCCTGTCCTACGCGGACCCAAACTCATACTCCCTCCCTGGGCGCTGCCAATTCCACAACAGTAAGCCTGGTTGGAAGCACGTGGGAGACCCAGCGGAGTGCGGTCTCACGCAAACCCAAACTAGAACTGCCCCTCACGGGGCAACGAGATCTTTCAAATGCTGGTTCGTCTGAGATGAGCCCGTTCATGTTGCTACTTGTTTCAGACGGGCTGAGTACGTCCCTAGGTCATCCAGCATGCTATGATAATTCTGTGACGTGTTGGGGTGATTTTATGTCTCTGGGCGCATCCAGTGACTCCGGAGACCAGGCCCTGGGCGGAACTAAATCTTTGGCATGTTCTGGCAATCTCGGTCCTCGGGGGCACCGTGGCCACGGCTAGACCCGCCTGGAAATTAAGGCCAGAACGCGCCGTGGGGCAGGTCTGGGGGGTCGTCGGCGGCGGCGGCGGCATCGTCGTCAGCGGCGGCGTCGGCGTCCTGCTCCGGCGGAATGACCACTGTCCATTTACGTCCGCTAGCTTTGCGCCACCTTTCGACGAGGAACAGATGCCAAGCCATCGATCTATTGAAGGCGATGCCCTCTCCTAGAACGCCCTGTTCACTCACAACCGCCGCCTCCTCCTCGCTCCTCCTCGTTGTTCGCTTCTCCTCCTCCTCCTCCTCCTCCTCCTCCTCCTCGTCCTCCTCCTCCTCCTCCTCCTCCTCCTCCCCTCCTCCTCCCCCCTCCTCGCTCCTCCTCGTTCCTCCTCGTTCCTCCTCGCTCCTCCTCGCTCCTCCTTGCTCCTTGATCCTTTCTCCTGGCTCCTGGCTCTTGGCTCCTCCTCCTCCTCTTCCTCCTCCTCCTCCGCATGGTCGTCCTCGTCGTCGTCGGCCTCCTCGTCCTCTCCTCCTCCTCCTCCTTCTCCTCCTCCTCCTCCTCCTCATTATCTTCCTCCTCCTCCTCCTATTCCCGCGTTCCGCTCCTCTGACCGTGGCCCCGGCGGCACCACCGCAATCCACAGTCACCACGACACGCCGAGGAGTGGGGGAGGTCGCGGTGCCTCAGGCACCCAACCAGGGCCACTCCACTAATCCGAATCCTCCCAGCAAGTCTCCCGCCTCTCGGCCAAGGCCTCATGGAGCCAGTTTGCCCAGCCGACACGTCGCGTGGACAGCGGAGGCGCTACGACCGAGGGATGGGCAGCTTGGAGGTAGCTTCTCCTCCGCCTCCTCCTCCTCCTCCTCCTCCTCCTCCTCCTCCCCTCCTCCTCCTCCTCCTCCTCACCTCCTGCACAATTACTTAATATGAATACTATTCTCCCTCTTCCCTGATGACGTCTTGGGAATATTCGCCCCCCCCCCCCCCCCGCGTATTGTTTTTACCTAACAGCGAAGACTGATAGGTTTCTAGTGGGGTCAAAAGAGAGCATCATGACTCCTCAGGGGGGTCGGGGCGGGACCCGGGGCGGGACCCGGCGCGGTTGCCGTCGAAGCCCAAATCGCTTGGGACATCCTCGCAAAATCGCTCTTCGCGCTGCTAGAACTCCATTCCCGGCGTACATTTTGGATGCCCGGAGCCAACTATAAGCCACTTCGTGCTCTTCGACTTCCCAGAACTCCATTCCCGGCGTACATTTTGGATGCCCGGAGCCAACTGTAGGCCACTTCGTGCTCTTCGACTTCCCAGAACTCCATTCCCGGGCCACATTTTGGATGCCCGGAGCCAACTGTAGGCCACTTCGTGTCTTCGAGTTCCCAGAACTCCATTCCCGGGCCACATTTTGGATGCCCGGAGCCAACTGTAGGCCACTTCGTGCTCTTCAAGTTCCCAGAACTCCATTCCTGGGCATGATTTTGAATGCCCGGAGCCAACTGTAGGCCACCTCGTGTTCTTCTAGTTCCCAGAACTCCATTCCTGGGCCACATTTTGAATGCTGAGGCAGGCTGATGCTGCGGCCGAGGCAGGCTGAGGCTGAGGCAGGCTGAGGCTGAGGCCGAGGCTGAAGGCAGACTGAGGCTGAGGCTGAAGCAGACTGAGGCTGAGGCTGCAGGCTGAGGCTGAGGCTGAGGCTGAGGCTGATGCTGAGGCAGGCTGAGGCTGAGGCTGAGGCTGATGCAGGCTGAGGCTGAGGCAGGCTGAGGCTGAGGCCGAGGCTGAAGGCTGAGGCCGAGGCTGAAGGCAGACTGAGGCTGAGGAAGCAGGCTGAGGCTGAGGCTGAGGCAGGCTGAGGCTGAGGCAGGCTGAGGCTGAGGCTGAGGCAGGCTGAGGCTGAGGCTGTGACTGCGACTGCCGTTGCCACTGCGACTGTCATCGCGAATGCGACTACGACTGCGAGAACAGCAGAATTCTACAACTGGATTCTCATCTGAATCTGAAGGGGAATGCTTCCAGATATGCTCCTACACATCGCTGTTAGGTTGCTTTGCCGGGATAATTTTACACACAGGTTTCCCCGGAGTTTGGTTTTCGCCTGCATTTTTTTTCCAAAATGCTGCTCTCGCTGAAGCGCCGGCCTAATTTTCGGGCCCCGCTCGTTCCGAATCGTGCTCCCGCTGCAGCGCTGGCATCATTTCCGCCGGCGCCCGGGCTGCACGCTCGAGCCGGCGCCCGGGCCGGCGCCTGGGCCGGGTCCGGAGCCGGTTCCGGCCGGCGCCGGAAAATCGAGTTCCGAGGCGGCGCCGAAAAAAAGCCATTCTAATACACATTTTTCTTTTGAAAATGCTGAATTTCTTCTTCCGGCGCCCAGGAGGCCTCCCGGGCCGATTCCGACGCCCATGCCGGCGCCCGAGCCGGCGCCCGGGCCGGACGCCCGAGCATGCACCCGGGCCAGCGCCCGGGCCGGGTCCGGAGCCGGTTCCGGCCGGCGCCGGAAAATCGAGTTCCGAGGCGGCGCCGAAAAAAGACCATTCCGATACAATTTGTTTTTGGAAATGCTGAATTTCTGCTTCTTGCGCCCGGGAAGCCTTCCCCGGAGTTAGGATTTCGCCTGCATTTTTTCCCAAAATGCTGCTCTCGCTGAGGCGCCGGCCTCATTTTCAGGCCCCGCTTGTTCCGAATCGTGCTCCCGCTGCAGCGCTGGCCTCATTTCAGTGCTTCCGCTCGTTCCGAATCGTGCTCCCGCTGCAGCGCTGGCCTCATTTCCGCGCTTCCGCTCGTTTCGACTCGTGCTCCCGCTGCAGCGCTGGCGTCATTTCCCGTGCCATGCCACGGCATGCAATGCAATGCCAGGTTGATACTACGCTTCGCGGCGCTCTTCTACGCCATGCCATGCCGTGCTCTACAATGCATCGCGTACCCTTTCGGGATCATCGCCCTGCTTGTTATCCGACTGTGCGAGTAGAGAGGGGATCTGCGCCATGGTGAGGGATGGGAGGGGTAGGATGTCAGATATGACGCGAGCGCACCTAGCTTGTCCCCCACCCCCTCCTCCTCTTCCTCTCCTCCTCCTCCTCCTCCTCCTCCTCCTCCTCCTCCTCCTCCTCCTCCTCCTCCTCCCCGTCCACTCCTCCTCTTCCTCCTCCTTCTCCTCCTCCTCCTTCTCCTCCTGCTCCTTCTCACCTCCTGCTCCTCCCCCTCCTCCTCTTCCTCCTCCTCCTCCTGCTCTCCTCCTCCTCTCATCCTCCTCCTCGTCCTCCTCATCCTCCTCATCGTTCCTCGTTCCTCCTCCTCACGACTCCTCGCTCCTTGCATTTCGCTCCTCCTCCGCCTCCTCCTCCACCTCCTCCTCCTCCTCACTCCTCCTCCTCGCTCCTCCTCCTCGCGACTCCTCTCCTCATCCTCCTCCTCCTCCTCCTGCTCTTCCTCTTCCTCCTCGCTCCTCCTCCGTCTCCTCCTCCTCCTCCTCATCCTCCTCCCTCTCCTTCTCCGTCTTTGTATGCTTATTAGTATTAGTATTCTTCTTCGTCTTCTTAACATTAGTAATATTATTATTAATACTACCATTATTATTACTAGTATTAGTATTATTATCATTCTCATTATCATTATCATTATCATCCTTATTATTATTATTATCATTATTATTATTACTATTATTATTATTATTATCATTATTATTAATATCATTAACAATATTATTAGTATTAGTAGTATTATTATTATTATCAATAATAGTATTACTATTATTATTAGTATTAGTATTAGTAGTAGTAGTAGTAGTAGTAGTAGTAGTAGTAGTAGTAGTAGTAGTAGTAGTAATGTATTGATATGATTCGCATTAATACTCTTATTTTTATATTTACCATTCGCATTACCAGTAGCAGTATTATTATTCGAAGTAGTATTCGTAGTATTGATATTATTCTTGCTATTCATAGTATTGTTATTTTCAAGCTGATTATGATCATGAGGATTATTAGTATCATTATTAGTGGTCAGCATATCTTCCTCCCCCTGCGCCTCCTCCTCCTCCTCGCCTCCTCCTCCTCCTCCTCCTCCTCCTCCTCCTCGTGACTCCTCGTTCCTCGCTCCTCGCATCTCGCTCCTCCTCCTCCTCCTCGTCCTCCTCCTTCTCCTCCTCCTCCTCCTCATCATCATCCTTCTCCTCCTCCCTCATCCTCGCCCATCCTCTTTGTTCCTCGTCGCTCCTCTTCCTTGGCGATCCTCCTCCTTCTCCTCCTCCTTCTCGTGATCCTCCTCCTCCTCGCTCCTCGCTCCTCCTCCTCCTCGCGACTCCTCGTTCCTATTGATCTAAAGTTTGATCATCAAAAGTCCCTTCCTGATGCGCAGGGAAGCCATGCGGCAAGCCTCGCCTCTGGATGCTGGGCCCAAGCCTCGAACGTCTTGGAAACAACGAGACGGAGGTTTTCTGCCACTCTCGTTCGGGGGCGGTACCTGGGACAAAACAGCAGTCCCCTGGAAGGGGTCGAGAGGTCGGGGGACGACGTCTTGGGAACACAGCGACGTCGGACGTCTGGAAACTCAGCCTCGTGGAGCACGAGGCTGGAGCGACTGGCGCGGTCTCCAGACTGCATCCCTGGCTGTCTATACCCCACGCCTTTCAAAGACTCACCGACGTTGTGATATGTTCACTTCGTGGACCCTGGGGGTCCAGGCAACTTCCCCGGTACATTTCCATCCCGAACCGATGGTTGACCTTGGCCCAGTATGGGCCCCCAGACTCAGAAGATGTCCAAAAGCCGTCGGTCGTGATTTTTGCTTGACGCGAGGGAATCTGGGCGTGGGGATCGAAACCCTACCCCTAGACCTGTCCCAAGAAGCTTTCCTGCCAGACTTTCGAGACGGATCCACCCGTGACCACGACAAGCCTGCAAGAGGCCCAACAAGTACGAAACAACGTTAAAACATGTCGGACCTCGATCCTCGCAACTTGACGCACGCCTCGCCGTCCTTCATGGTCTCCAGGCGCTGGTGCAGGCTGCCCACCTCCTCCATCAGCTGGCGGTCCCGCTCGTGGAGTTCGGCCGACTCCGCCAGCGCCTTGGCTGGGTCGTCGAGGCCTCGCCGAGGCCGGCCACTCTAGGCGGTGTCGTTGTCGCCGTCACCGCCGTCGTCGCGGTCGTCGATGATCGAACATCTAGGTTCAAGAGCTGAAGTCTTGGGCGCTGTCGTCATCGCCGTTGTAGTCGCCGCCGTTGTCGCCGTCGCCGCCGTCATCATCGCCGTTGCCCGTCGTCATCGCCGTCGTCGCCGCCGCCGTCGCTGTCGCCGTGACCGACGTCGTCGCCGTCGTCGTCGCCGCCGCCGTCGCCGTCGTCACCATCACCGTCGCCGTCGCCGTCGTCCCCCCCAAACATCTGGCGACCCGCTTCTGTTAGAAACGTTGGCCCCTGGAGCTCTCCAACCCTTGCGCGGGACCGGCTTTTCATCCTGAGTAGGATTTGCTGACGATCCCCGGGCTCGCAGACGGTCCCAGATGCCGAGAAGTCCGACAGACACCTGGTGCAATATTTTCGAATCGCCCTCCAGAAAAAATCCACCGAAGTCCCCGCAACCGTCCCGAGGCCCTGGGGCCTTCCAAAAAAATGCTAAATGCTAGCCAGCGCAAACGGCAAACAGTGTGCTTCTAGCAAAATTCGCCGGCCCAACGGGCCAGAGGCGTGCTAAGATCTCCGGTAACTGGCTAACAATATTTCTAGTTCGCGCGCGCGGAGCGGCCCCTGGGGGCCCCCGGACGAAAAGTACCCCGGCAAGGTCCCGGGAGAAGCCATCAGAGCACTCCAGGGGAGGGCCATTTTTCGACACCCCTCACGAGGATCGTGGCCTCCGAGGGGGGAGCCGCAATCGACTACCCCCCCTCCCGCCCCAAGAGGCCCCCAAAAGCCCCCAAGAGACCCTGGGGGCCAAGAGGCCCCCAGGAGGCCCTAAAGAGGGCTCCAGGGCTGGCGGAATGAGCGAAGCGATTAAATACATTGAGCAATCTATGTCGAGCAATGTATGTTGTGGAATCTAGGTGGTGCAATCTAAGTTGAACAATCTAGGTTCTGCAATATATGTGGTGCAATCTATGTGGTGCAATCCACTCTGCTGAACTTGAAGTCGTCATCTCCTCTGCTCGCGCAAACATCCCACCCACCCACCCGCAACTTGGTTTGCAAAACCTCTTAAGACCGAGTACGACGACACCGACGACAACGACTAGGACGACACCGACGCCGTCTCCGACGACTTCGACGACGACAACGACGCCGACGCCGACGACGACGAAGACGACGACGAGGACGCCAACGAAGGCGACGACGAGGGAGGAGGAAGGACGACGACGGCGACAACGACGACAACGACGACAACGACGAGGGAGGAGGGAGGACGGCGACGACGCGAACGACGACGAAGGAGGAAGGACGGCGACGCCGACGACGACAACGACGAGGGAGGAGGGAAGACGACGACGACAACGACGACGACGACGGCGACGAAATAGGAGGGACGACGACGAGACGCCGACGACGGACGACGACGACGTGGGGAGGAGGAAGGACGACCACGGCGACAACGACGACGGAAACGACCACGACGCCAAAGAGGACGACGACGACGAACACGAGAAAAGACAGAGGACGACGTAGGCGACGACGACGACGACGACGCGGGAGGAGGGAGGACGGCGACGACGACGACGACGACGCAAAAGCGCGCGCGCACGCTTTTGTTGAAAATCCGTGTTGCGAAACCCTTGGTTTTTGTAGGTTTTTCGGACGCACGATTTTCAAATCCCTCCGAAACCGATGGGTCTTGAAGGTTTTCGGCATACGCCCGCGACGACGCGCGCGTCTGCACTTCGTCCATTTTTTTTGCAGAGGATTCTCGCGACGGCACGCGCGCAAGGGCGTTCGACAGATTTCAACATGCGCGCGTGAAGCCCGTTTGGTAGCATTTTGTGAAAATCTTGACGAACCTATGGTTTTCTTAAGATTTCGCAAGAGCTCGCGCGGAAGCTTCTTTAGCAAATCAGTGTTGCGAAACAATGTGTTGTTGTATATTTTTTGGAAACTCAATTGCGAAATCCTTCCGGCACCGAAGGTTTCTGAAGGATTTCGACATGCGCGCGCGACGACGCGCGCGTGTGCATTTCGTCCCATTTGTTGCCAGGGATTCGTGAAAAAGTGCTATGTTAGAGCAAAAAATGTCTCTGCATAGTGTTTTTTTTACAAGGGAACCTCAGGGGGGGGGGAGCCGGCCTAGCTGGGATGGTATGATTTCATATTTAGGATGGACGAGTGTGCAGAATATATATATATATATATATATATATATATGAAATCATACTATACCAAGGGGAACCGATAAGTCCGGGGGGGGGGATAGAGTCTATTCTCTGTTTAGAAAGGAGAATCCATTTTGACTGTCTTGAAGCTGTCCTCTCCACTGCTCGCGCAAACATCCCACCCACCCACCCGCAACTCGGTTTGCAAAACCTGTTAAGACCGACAACGACGACACCGACGACAACGACTAGGACGACACCGACGACGTCTCCGACGACTTCGACGACGACACCGACGCCGACGCCGACGACGACGAAGACGACGACGCCAACGAAGGCGACGACGAGGGAGGAGGAAGGACGACGACGGCGACAACGACGATAACGACGACAACGACGAGGGAGGAGGGAGGACGGCGACGACGCGAACGACGACGAAGGAGGAAGGACGGCGACGCCGACGACGACAACGACGAGGGAGGAGGGAAGACGACGACGACAACGACGACGACGACGGCGACGAAATAGGAGGGACGACGACGAGACGCCGACGACGGACGACGACGACGACGTGGGAGGAGGAAGGACGACCACGGCGACAACGACGACGGAAACGACCACGACGCCAAAGAGGACGACGACGACGACGAACACGAGGAAAGACAGAGGACGACGTAGGCGACGACGACGACGACGACGCGGGAGGAGGGAGGACGGCGACGACGACGACGACGACGACGACGACGACGACGACGCAAGAGCGCGCGCGCACGCTTTTGTTGAAAATCCGTGTTGCGAAACCTTGTGATCTTGTAGGTTTTTTGGACGCACGATTTTCAAATCCTTCTGAAACCAATGCGTTTTGAAGGTTTTCGGCATACGCCCGCGACGACGCGCGCGTCTGCACTTCGTCCCATTCTTTGCAGAGGATTCTCGCGACGGCACACGCGCAAGGGCGTTCGACAGATTTCGACATGCGCGCGCGAAGCCCGTTTGGTAGTTTTTTTTGTGAAAAACTTGAAGAATCTATGGTTTTCGTAAGATTTCGCAAGAGCTCGCGCGTAAGCTTTTTTAGCAAATCAGTGTTGCGAAACCCTGTGTTGTTGTATGTTTTTTGGGAACTCGATTGCGAAATCCTTCCAGCACCGAAGGTTTTTGAAGAATTTCGGCATGCGCGCGCGACGACGCGCGCGTGTGCATTTCGTCAAATGTTTTGCAAGGGATTCGTGAAAAGTGCTATGTTAGAACAAAAAATGTCACCGCATAGTGTTTTTTAAAAAAGGGAACCTCAGGGGGGATACCGGTTTGGCTGGGATGATACGATTTCATATTTAGGATGGACGAGTGTGCAGAATATATATATATATATATATATATATATGTGTGTATATATATTACTATCCCATGGGGAAACGTTAAGTCCGGGGGGGGTAGAGTCTATTCTCTTTTTAGAAGGGAGAATTGACTACCCTGCACCGCGCTTGACCACCTCCACTGCTAGCGCAAACATCCCACCCACCCACCCGCAACTTGGTTTGCAAAATCTCTTAAGACCGTGACGGTGGGTACCTAATGGCACTTGGCAACGACAGCGACGCCGACGACGACAGCGACAACGACGACGACGACGCCGCCGACAACGACTACGACGACACCGACGACGTCTCCAACGACTTCGACGACGCCGACAACGACGACGACGACGACGACGATGACGACACCGACGACGACGACGACGACAACAACGACGCCGACGCCGACGACGACGACGACGATGACAACGACGACGACGATGACGACGACGTCAACGACGCCGACGACGACGACGACGACGGCGGCGACGACGACGACGCCGATGTCGACGACGACGAAGACGACGACGACGCCGACGCCGACGACGACGACAACGACGTCGCCAACGAAGACGACGACGAGGGAGGAGAAGGACGACGACGGCGACAACGACGACAACGACGACAACGACGAGGGAGGAGGGAGGACGGCGACGACGCGAACGACGAAGGAGGAAGGACGGCGACGACGACGACAACGACGAGGGAGGAGGGAAGACGACGACGACGACGAGAAGGGACGACGACGAGACGCCGACGACGTGGGAGGAGGAAGGACGACCACGGCGACAACGACGACGGAAACGACCACGACGCCAAAGAGGACGACGACGACGAACACGAGGAACGACAGAGGACGACGTAGGCGACGACGACGACGACGACGACGCGGGAGGAGGGAGGATGGCGACGACGACGACGACGACTACAAACGACGACGACGCAAGAACGCGCGCGCACACGCTTTTGTTGAAAATCCGTGTTGCGAAACCTTGTGATTTTGTAGGTTTTTTTGACGCACGATTTTGAAATCCTTCCGAAACCAAATCGGTTTTGAAGGATTTCGGCATACGCGCGCGACGACGCGCGCGTCTGCGCTTCGTCCCGTTTTTTTGCAGATGATTCTCGCGACGGCACACGCGCAAGGGCGTTCGACAGATTTCGACATGCGCGCGCGAAGCCCGTTTAGTAGCATGTTGTGAAAATATTGACAAAAAACTATGGTTTTCTTAAGATTTTGCAAGAGCTCGCGCGTAAGCTTTTTTAGCAAATCAGTGTTGCGAAATACTTTGTTGTTGCATGTTTTTGGGGAACTCGATTGCGAAATCCTTCCGACAACGAAGGTTTTTGATGGATTTCGGCATGCGCGCGCGACGACGCGCGCGTGTGCACTTCGTCCCATTTGTTGCAAGGGAGTCGTGAAGAAGTGTTATGTTAGAACAAAAGTTGTCCCCGCGTATCGTTGTTACAAGGGAACCTCAGGGAGCCGATCCCGTACCCTCTGGGATAGTGTAAATTCAT